ATGAGAAAGTAACATACGTCTATTGAAAAAACTTGGTCACTGAGTTGACTTGGTCACTTTCACCAACTGTTTCATACAGTGTCTGGCATAACATCTGACATGTTTTGAAACAAGAAATATAATAAAATGTGCCTTGTAACAAACAAAACAAGAAAGATATATTATATCTTTATATATAATATATTATAACCAGAACATTTTACAGACTTAAACGCTCTGGTTGCTGTGCGGTGCTGTGTTTGGGACATAAAGGTTCTCTTATCTTTGTGACAGAGATCAGTTCACATACAGTTCTGTAGCTAACACCATTTTGGAACAGATAGAAACCTTCATGCATCTCTCTATGTGTCTCAGACAAGTATGAAAGAGTCTTCTTTAGAGTTAGACTGAGCACAACCACAATTCTGTATTTGAACAACCCAAATGAGATCAATCGATAGATTAACACAATACATGTCTCAATGAGATTAAAAGCTATGATTAGAGACTGCCTGCCACATTAATACACATTGCACTAGATATTTAATGAACCACTCATAGGTGCAGAGCAAAACAACTAATCCCAGTCGAGCGGAGCTTCATTGCTTCTCTTACTATCTTAATAAAATCTGGCATTGAGCATGAATGCTCTCCATTTCTCAGAATAAAAGCACAGACCAGTCCTGACGCAAACGGCACTCGATCTTATTACTCACAGTACGCTGTTAGCCTCATGGCACTGATAAAGATGTGTTGACACTTCCAAGCTAAAAGATGTCTTTCATCACCATTTATAAACTATGAATAAACACAACAAAATTTCTCTAAATTTTGTTGTATAATATTTCTCTAAATAAAGAAAATTACAAAATTACAACAAGCAGATCACCATGCCTGGTGCTTACCGCAGGTTTCAGTGTCAAACTTGAGCACTGCTGAGACACAGTTCAAACATGGCTGTGTGTGTTAATATATGTAAAAGGGTGTATTGGCAAGTCCATGCTGGGTTTATCCAAGCAGAAAATGAGGACGTGTGTATGATGCCAGGAGCTCAGCTGCCCACCTGGACGATGCCCAGGGCTTGAACATGGGATGTAACAGAAAAAGGATAAGAGCGCAATTTGAATGAACTCATTACTAGTGAATGAAAATACAACAATCATCAAATGAATATGAGAAAGCCAATTCCTGTGCCTGGCATAGAGCCTCCATTTATTAAACTTTGTTTTACAATGAAATGCATGATTCACATATTTTTCAAAATTGCAGCATTTAATCACTCTACACTTCAGGGTTTGAACGGATTCCTTGTACCTGTGGTTGTTTGTATGAAGACTCACGCAGTACAGAGGTGCTGTGCTCTGCCACAATATATAATATTTATTATTATGATATATTTATGTGTAAAAAATTAAGCCTAAGAAAAACATTGGCAATTAGGGCCACCCCCCGACAGCAGGTTGATATTCCAATGTGGCCCTCGGGAGGAAAGGTTTGCCCATTCTTGTCCAGACAATCAAATCAATGCTGACAACAATCTGAAATAAGGAGAACCCCACAGTCCACCGACAATATCATACAGTAAATACATGGGCAAGATATATATTTGCGCATGAGTAAGCCTAAGTTTGGAGTTTTGACTGTTAGCTTTCATACCAAATGCTAACATAGAAAGAAGATCACTGTCCATACATTACAAGCCATGGTGCTGAATCATGTTGTTGTGTAAAAAGAATGATCAGCTATTCTAGGTGGGCCATTAATTCACGTCATATCCGCATTGTGCCTGCAGTGTTAATAGCCAGCAGGCTGGTTGTAGTCGTAGAGCAATAATTACTGTGAACACATATTCAAATGGATCCAGTCAGAGGGGTGACACACACAGTCAGCAGTTAGTTCACACGTTAAGACACGTTATAGAGAGAGGCATGAAGTGGGAGAGAGGGACTATGAGGGGAATCAGAGAAAGCGACAGTGCGTTGGTAAAACGTGTCAGTGGCAATGGGGATAATACATTAAGCTGAGGAAAATGGAGGCACATGAGTCCCCATGACAAGTGTGCTTCAGTAATCCTGAATGCACTGATGAGCAGAGTTCTGACATCAGCACCTCCTGAAGGACGCTGTGGGAGTGAGTATGGGGCTCATGATGCCTGCCGCTGTGTGCAAGCCATTTTCTCCGCTTCAGATGCAAAAAGCTTAAATCGGGAGAGTGATGTCATGCAGTCAAAAGGCACATAGTTACAGGAAATAAGTACAATGAGTAACTATTCTTGAACACATGAGAAATTAATAAGCTTCACTCAATGCAATCCCTACTCTTTACCAGTCATTTGACTTGGGCCAAATTAGCTGCAAAACAGATACAGCTTGTGCACAGCATTATTATTATTATTAAATCAACATTTTACTAAGATTCAAAAGACCCTTTCATGAAAACTACAATAAAACAATTTATCTAAACAAGGTTACAGAAAAAATGTATTCATTTTTGCACAGGTTTTTATGTGCAGACAAAACTCAATCTATTTTGAGGAAAACAAGGGCTGTTCTTTTCAGTGGCAGGTCGACGGTGCATGTTCAACATGTGTAATTAAGTGTCTTAAAATACCATTATATGCCTCCTGCAATAATGTCATGTGCCTGAATTGTAGACATAGCTGTCTGTGTAATTGGCCAAACAAGCATTACAAAGGGAAAGGTTTAAATGCAGAGTTCATTATATATTCATTCTTGTTGAAGGCTCAGAATATTCTTTCAATAAGAGACAAGGGGACCTATTCCTTGGTTCACACATGAGACTCACTTCTCCAGAGACCTCAGCACATGCGGAGCATAGTCCGTCTGATGGATCTGCCCGATCCGTCAGACTGGCCGCAACCGATAACAACAGCTGATAAGAGACACGTCAAACCATCACAGGTCACCTCTGAAGAAGGTGAAAGTCTACTGCCAAAACATGTCAGGTACAGCACCAAACTTATTCACACTCTTTGTCTTATTAGGGAAAGATAGTTGAATTCAGTTGCTGCTGGGCAAAGATGATCAATTATAGGGCTGTGCAATTCAGAACAATTATCACTTTTTTCCTTCCTTGATAGTTGTCAATTTCTGAGATATATGTCAATATATGTCTGAAAGTTTATGTTAAACTTTCAGACATATACTTTCTTATGTGAAAGATAAAGACACATGCAGTCTTCCCTGGCTCAGTTTTTTCTCCAAAATAGTGAGTTTAGGGGAGAGGTCCGAAGTCCGATGATTGGTGTTTCTCACCTTTTAACTCAGGATTAATCTCATCCTCTCAAACCCAGCACAAACCACTGGCCCTTAGAAACAGCAGAGTGTGATGGCGGTGCTGATGTCAGCATGACATCACAGCGAGTGACAATAATTATGGGTGATCAGTCCATTACACCACAGAAATAACTGTACACCATGAGACAGTTTTTATGTCATTTACTGGAACTTTTCACATTTTAATGGCTTTAATGACTTTGATGGCAAGATTCTAATGATGTGACTTATCATACTTACATTTCTATTTATATTCCACTTCATTAATCACCTGATTCAGTGATTAAATATGGTTAAGCTGACATTTTCATAATTATTGGCATATAGTCTTACATTTCCGTAGACTTTTTTTCTATATTCTTTCAATTACAATTTTATTTGCAAAAGTGTGCACTTCTGGTCACAAAACAGCATTTTCAACATTTTCTTGCCCATCTCATGGTTCCAGTGTATGTGTGGCAAATACTGATGAAAAAAATTACATTTTAAATTTGAATTTGCTTCTTCAATTTTAGAAACTGTAAAAGTGAAGAAAACAAAAAAGAATCTAACATTGTTATTGTGCTTTTTGGACAGAAAATACAAATGTTGTGTCTAGTATCGGTAGTTATAACATATCAAGTCTAAAATGTGCCGTCAAACTTTGGACTTCTAATTGGAAAATTAATGTTGTTGGAGTGGTGTAAAAATGTATATTCCTGTTTAGGCAGGCAGATCACAGCTTCATTAAGAAGATTTGAATCTTGGCTGCTCAGGCAACACATTTAGGTTGAAAACTTACTATATTTTAGAGTATTAGGAATAGGAATAAATGATTATATTATATTCATGACAAACTAAGCAAGTAAGTAGAATTCAAGCACAGTGAAAGCTTAGGGAGCTATGGGCTAAAAATGGTTTACTGAATCTGACACCTCTTATAAACAGAAAAAAACCTAGTAGACACTGGGGGTGTGCAATGCCTTGTAAGTTGTATCTGGCAAAACAATTTCATACATAGGTCACTACGATAGTCTATATCCCAATACTAAACTGTAAGCTGATTTTTTACCCAAAATAAACTAATAACGAGATGCTCCATGAGATGCTGAAATTGTTCTAGTCTTTGTCCAAAAAGCACTATATAAGTTTGATGTATTATTATTATTATAAAAAAGTTTTTATTTCAACACAATTTATTTGTGCATTTCAAAATAATCAATATTTTCAAACATCCTGAGAAGATGGAGCCCACAGTGCATAATTTGCCATTATTGCTGCATAATATTTAACTTTGGATTACAAGCTGTTTTATTATAATTGTATATCATACTCTGAGGTAATAGATATGAGCATGAAAATACTTAATTTCCCCATATGCCTATGCCACGTCTAGAAACAGCCTGGATGCAACTCCTCCCTTTCTCTGATTCTACACTTCCACACAAAATAAACAGATGCTGTCAAAACACAAAACCCTATTAATTCATGTTAATGCACCCTGAGGAGAGTAGGTGTGGCCTGGAGCCACAACCAAAGAGTATACAGTACATGAGAGCTCTTCTCTCACTGATGTGACATGTGCACCTGTGTTATTACCATAGATAGTAAATATCACTGAGAAACAACACACATTTTCCATTGATCGCTCTTTTGGCCATTGGTTAGCTTGGCCTCTCAGGAGTAACCTGCATTTGCCCTTAGCCTCTACACACATGTAACATGTACGCTAAAATCTCCGTAACGTCACGCTAACCTCACCCCTTGCGTCAGATACGACACAACACTTCGTCCACAGTAACTTGCAATGGTTTCCTCGAACACCGCCTGCTCCGCTTTACCGGCAGCAGTAACCACGCTGCCCATGGGAAAGATCGCGCTGTGGATAATTAGTACCACACAACATTACAGTCTGCACACACACAACACACACTCAACACACACACACACACACACACACGCACATGTAGCGCACTCGCACCAGCTCGCCGGTCGCTCGCTCGGTGTAAACCTGAAAAATTCTGCCCTTACCACCCTCTTGGTCCGGTTGGAGGCAGGCCGGGATGTTTTTCTTCCAGCCGGGCATGATGCACCTCAGCGCGTATAAGGAGTCCAGGGCGGCCCGCTAACAGACGCACACCACCAGCAGAAGAAGCGACGGCAACATGGCTAGTTTAGCGTTAGCTCCAACACCTCCAAGGCTCCGCTCTCTCCTTCTCTCAGCCTTTTACTCGTGCACGCAAGCTCCCAGATCCCCGCTCTCTCTCCCGCAGCTTTTCCCTTGCTTTGTGCGTGTCTCTCGACCCCCTCCCCCCACGGTAACTTTAGCATGGGCTCTGGGGGAGTGGGGGTGACGTGATGACCGTGAAAGAGCTGCAAGGTAGAGGGATGCCAGAGCTCCGGCTGCAGAGAGCGGCAGGTGCTGGACATGGTGCTGGACATGGTGCTGGACATGGTGCTGGACATGGTGCTGTTCATGGTGCTGTCCACTGAAACCATTTCAGTTATGGTCGCTATGGCGCCATTCATTCTTCTTTCAAAGGGACTTTCAACTGGACCAATCCTGGTTCACTTAGGGCAGAAATGCTTTATTTGTCAATGTAAACCGCCAAACAGGTGACACATGTCCACTATTCAGTTCACATCTTTTGAAACACATCTGTGAAGTATTTCGCCCCAAGTGAGCCAGATTTGGTCTAGTTAAAGTGAACCAGACCAACAAGTGTGAACGTTTGTGGAGATTGAAGCTCGAGTTTTTGTTGTTGTGTGAAAACATGTCATTCACAATTACAGTAACATTAGTTTTACATATTTTACTTTTTACGTTATGGCATGGTAGTTTTTTTGGGAGAAGCATTAACTATGAGAAGTTAATGCTTTGAAACAAACAATGTACATTCAGATATACTGTGCAGCCCTATTTGTAAAGCACTGGTATTTGAAGGCATGTTCTTGTCCAAACTAGTCTTTTTGGAATCCTTCCACATCCACCAATAAAGGGAAGCCCTAACTCAACCTGCAAGTCGATTGGAGTTACCCAATTCAATGTACCCATTCATCCAAGTTTATTTAAATTTACAATTATTGTTGTTTCAAAGTAATACTACAACTGTCATGACTTTGTTAAAATGAATTTCTATAATTGAAAAACAATGTGAAAGCACTGAAGTACCTGAACACAGGATTTTAATGGCTATATGGTTGATTCTGAAAACCAAAACACACAGCCCTGGTATCTTTTATCATGTCTGGCTGACATCTTTGGTCCCTATGGAAAGGCGAAGCTGTAGAGGAAAGGATGCAGCCAAGTGGAAGAATATGTCTCTGCAGGCTACAAGACAAAAAGCACAGACTGACCTCAATGTGGAGACAAACAGAGCAGCCAAAGTCTAATGGGAAGCATGTTTTCCCTCTGCATTGCCAACAATCATTGCAGACTATATAAAGTACATGGCACAGTCAAGTTCAAGAAGGCTACAGGTCAGATGGCTTCAATATAATAAATGTTTAAACAAAGGAAACACAGTGACAGATCCTTATTATAATTTATACAGGGAGGTAATATTTCATTGTACAATAATAGAATATTAATATGTATATTACATCACTGTCTGTATTCTAGATAAGATTATTGAAGGAGATGTTTGGGAATATAAGTCTAAAGTTCTGGTTTGTAAGATGTCCGATTATGTAGTTGTTCTTCAAAAGAGACACTAGTTATGCTACTTTGGAACTGTCAGTTCTGACACATCCATCTCCAGATGTTTCCATTTCAGAATGTCTGTAAAGATTTTATTATTGCGTTAATTGAAGGGGGCTTTTACATCAGATACATGGGAATGAGCATTATTCTTATCCTGGATTGAATTCTTTATGCAACCAAAGCCTTGCATGCAGAACGAGGTGCAGTGCATTCACTGCTGAATGGTGAGTCACAGATCTAGGATGTTCTCAAAAGCCTTGGGCGGTCTCTCTTGACACATAATGCAGCCACTGACATATGCAGTTTGAGTTAGTGTATGAACCAGATCCATGGTATGAAGACACATTTGGAATATTTGGATCTATTAAAAATGATGTACAGGTAAAAGATAAAATCATAAATTGCATTATTTCCTAATTTATTTGATAAGGCTTGTATTGCCTGTGTTCTGTTTGGAATCCACTGTATTAACCAAGGGAACATGGGTAGGGTTTAATCGGCAAAACCATTTGGTTATCACGTGACACTTTAATTAGAAACCCTTCTTCAACACACTAAAAACACATTGGTTGGAAAATATTGGCTGTGGGCCAATCGAACAGATTATGTCTATTGTGGCGCCACCTGCACGTGATCCCGTCAGACAAATCTATGCTGGGTAGGGCCTATGGTTAATACTGAGATGGGAGACCTCTGAGGAGTATCACAGCGGGGGGCTACGGCTGTAAAGTGCCAAACTGTTATGTCCTTAGGCAAGACACTTTGCCCACACCATGACTGGTGGTCAGCCAACTACGTTTGTAATTCTGACCAATATGTAGTATTATTACCAATATACATACCACAAAATCACCATATCATAATAAAATTCGATGTTCGTCCTCGCTGACCTTCGACCCCACCGCAGTCCGGCTCTCGCCCCGCCCCTCTGCAGAGAGTCGGGAGCTCCATTCAAACCAAACGCACCATACTCCGCGCCCTGGGATGCGACCGTCGCTGTAAACGAACCTAAGGCGACCCAGACGGTGCAAGACTGTTTCATCTCTGTGTTCGCAAAGACAAGAGAAACCAACACCCAGCTAGAAAAAACAGGCGCCAAGCGATCAGCAGCGGAATAAACTCTTGAGAGCGCAGTGTTAGCACAAGGCTAACAGCTACAACCAAGCGACATGGCGAGTGCCTCTTACCATATCTCCAACTTACTGGAGAAAATGACTTCCAGCGACAAGGATTTCAGGTACAAATAAATAACAGCGGGAATTAATATTATATGCGTTAAGATTGTGAAGTCTCATAATTGTTCTCAACCCGAAGTTTAACGTTTGAGATTCCGGCCTAGGGATTTCCTGCTAACAGACAGCCTGCCACCTGTCTGCTCGCTGCCTCCGCGTTAACCTGCGATAATAACAGCACGAACAGTGCTTTACACATGTCCCTTAACATCCATTATACATGTACATTATTGCCCCACGTTTGCATAGTTGGTTATATACCATGTTGTCTAAAAATGGTAACACGTCTGCTAATGGGTTAGCTACAAACATAATCAACTTGTGTCATGCTGTAAGCTAGTGAGTGACATGCTACATGCTACGGTATATACTTATAACAGTTACTGCAAACCAGTACTACTGGTCTATTCCTTTTTATATTTAGGCGTGTGTAACCATCTCGCTGCCCTATGCATCGCAGTTGGCTTCCGTTGTTCTAAATGCAAGTCTTTTACGGTTGCAAACCATGTAAACACCATTGATCTGTCAAGTCACCGTCAGCATGTCTCATTTGTTTTCTGTCAGAAGAACCCAGTCGACTATTTTACTGACTTGTATAAACAATGCGTAATCCCATATACATGGGTACATAACTTTCACTTTTCACAACTCTTTAGATTCATGGCCACGAATGACCTGATGACAGAGCTTCAAAAAGATTCAATAAAACTGGATGATGATAGTGAAAGGAAGGTGAGTGTAACTGTAAATTAAATATTGCATTTATGAGAACTGATATTAATGCCTAATGCTTGTCATTATTAGGTGGTCAGAATGATTCTCAAATTGCTTGAGGATAAGAATGGAGAGGTTCAGAATCTTGCTGTCAAATGGTAAAATTGCAAACCTGCACTTTGACACATACTTTTTACGTTTCTCTTCTCTATTAATTGATGTGTGTTTTTTTGTTTTTAGCCTTGGACCTCTGGTCAGTAAAGTAAAGGAATACCAAGTGGAAACCATTGTGGACACATTGTGTACAAATATGCTGTCAGACAAAGAACAACTCAGAGACATTTCATCAATTGGACTTAAAACTGTTATTGGAGAGTTGCCCCCTGCATCCAGTGGTAAGCTCTGCTCTTTAAAACATAAACCCCATTTTCCAGTGCAGAATCTTGGCTCTACCCCACTAGTTACTAGTGGAGAAGGTCTACTCGTATTGGCTCCTGATTTTGGGACCATATTGAAAATCTCAAGTAGGGGATTATGCACAAACCAACGTACTTGCCTAAATTCGATATAACCTAAATTAGTCTTAAAATTCACATATAATCCAAGAGCCATGTTTTTGTTGCATAATTGGCATGCTAATGTGATAAGTGTGATGCAAATAATACTTTACCACAGTATTAATCTCTCTGTAAAAAAAAAAAAGGGGGGGGCGTAAATACCAAACTTATCAACAAGTACTTAAAGAACTATTGGTATTGGTTTGTAAAAAGTAGTATTGGTGCATCACAAGTTTAATCCTTTCATGGAAAGTTTATTTTAATGCTGTATGTATTTTTTTTTCTTTTTTTTAAAGGTTCTGCTCTAGCAGCTAGTGTATGTAAGAAAATAACGGGTCGTTTGACTAGTGCTATTGCCAAACAAGAAGACGTTTCTGTTCAGCTAGAAGCCCTGGACATCATGGCTGACATGTTGTGCAGGTACCTGAATACAAACATTCTGTCCATAATTTAAATGCATATTTAAATGTAGCTGACAAATATTAAACAATTCTTCCTCACTTAGACAGGGGGGGTTGTTAGTGAATTTTCATCCATCCATCTTAAGTTGTTTACTGCCTCAACTCACCTCTCCAAGACTGGCTGTCAGAAAGGTTTGTTTGATAAGATGTATGGTCTATCTACTGGTATGCAGTATATTATCATTTTCTTTTTAACTTGACACAGAATTGTATGAATTTTGTTTATACAGAGAACGATTATGGCTTTGGGTCACCTGGTAATGTCTTGTGGAAATCTGGTGTTTATTGATCTTATTGAACACCTTCTCACTGAACTTGGGAGGAACGACAACATGTCCACCACTAGGACCTACATTCAGTGCACAGCTGCGATCAGCAGACAGGCTGGACACAGGATTGGTATGTCACGTTTACACAGAAGTTCTTTTCTAATTTGGAACTTGCCTTCTTATGGGGCGTTCAGACCGCTGACACTGGAATGCAGCTTCCGCGCGCACTAGACGCACTTCACTTAAAGTTCAGATGCTAGGGGTGCTCAGACCAAAAAGTCCTGGCCTGCGGGTGCGCTCGTCGGGGGTGGCGGAAGTAGCGTTCGGGCTTTGATGCTAACGGAGTTAAGCTAGCGGCTTTTTGTGTAAAGTTCTTCTCCACGAATGCAGTTCTGGAACGTCTGTGTCCAGAGACCTTCCAGAGACTTTATATAACAGCAGCATGTATTCACCATGAGTTTTTTTATTTATTAAACGGTACTTCCGCATCGCCGAACACACTAGCTGCACTGCAGAGAACTCGGGCTGCAGACATATGTTCTGGTTTAGCTGTTTCTTCTGTTTTGGCTGTTTACGAGTATTTTCAGTCTGCTCGCTAGACCGCTAATGTCCCTGTGACCACTTTGCGGCTCTCTGATTGGTCGCTGCATGCGCGTCCCGAGTAAAAAGTTCAGCAATGTTTATCTCCTGCGTCGATTTTCCGCTGCTGCACCTTTGCCGCGCAGTTTGTGTGTCTCTACCCCGCAGTCCGTGTGTGCGTTCCGAGACACACATGCAGTTCCACGCACGAACACACATCACCATTGACTTTGCATTGAAAGTCGCCGCAATGCAATGCCGTTTTTGATGATTTTTACTGATTTTTCAAGACCCACAGAATATTGTGTACTATGACTATCTGAAATCCAACCAGATTCTGAAAGAATGGACTGTCTACTTTCATCAGCAAAAATAATTTTGTTTCTAGCTTGTTTCGTTCCCCTGTAATCCCCAGTTGAGTAGAGGGAAGTTTTACTGAAATCACCAGAAAGCTGAGAAAAAAGAGGCACAACATGTGCATCTGGCTGTTTTCAAACCATTCAGAGAGAAATGCTGCCACCTGCGGGCTAGATAAAATATGGTCTCACGCCATCCCCATACATATTAGATACAATAGACATCTGGGAACGTAAAAATAGCGGGACACGCAATTGACGTGTTAACACGTCAACGGCGGTCAATGAGTTAACATGCAGTAACTTGTTTTCGTGCAGGTGAGTATCTGGAGAAGATCATACCACTTGTGGTAAAGTTTTGTAATGTTGATGATGACGAACTTCGAGAGTACTGCATACAAGCTTTTGAATCTTTTGTCAGAAGGTAAAATACACTTGATTTTGATAATTGCATTCTTCTCGACAATGTTAAATTATAGTTCATTATTGTTGTCCCAAAGGTGTCCTAAAGAAGTGTATCCACACGTTCCAACCATCATATCTATCTGTTTGCGTTACCTAACCTATGATCCCAATTACAATTTTGATGATGAGGATGAAGATGACAATGCTATGGATGCAGAGCAAATTGATGAAGATTATCAAGGTGACCTGCTCATACCTGCAGTATGAGCTTTAACTTCATACATAACATTTTATTTTATATATAAATTAAAATGACATACAAAAATGTATAATACCGTAATAACATATCTAATACATTCAAATTGAAAAGTTTGTTTTCTGTTGGCTCTACAGGCAGTGATGATGAGTATAGTGATGATGATGACATGAGCTGGAAAGTGCGACGAGCTGCGGCCAAGTGTCTAGATGCTGTTGTTTCCACTCGTCATGAGATGCTGCCAGAGTTTTACCGCTCTGTGTCCCCTGCACTTGTTTGTCGATTCAAGGTAACACATTCTCAAATGTCAATAATACCACAGATATTTGAATGCTCTTAGTGCCGATGGCTAAATTCACACCTTTGTTGCCAGTGTCTTATCTGTATGTAGCACTCACACCGCTGATTACACTGATGTGCTTCACTACCGGAATTTAGGCAGTGAACAAAACGGTGGATTTCACCACTTGTAACTCAAATTAGAGACCTAGGCTCCGTTTAAATGTAGGCGCTGCACAGACATTGCAAAGCAATTAACAGAAATGTCCAGGCTCCTCATAAGTGCACAGCGTTCATACGAGGATGAATAACGATGTAGTTCTAGTGCCCGGCCAGTAGTGGGCAGAGGAACTTTACAACACGACACACTCAACAAAACAAAAACGTCCTCTGGCTGCAAAGATATGAAAGAATGCACCAACATCATTCTGCATTTAACAGCAGCTGCGAAAATGGAAAATTAAACTACAGTTTTGTGTGGTTTTGTTTGAATGGACGAAGGAGTAGAATTCTCCTTCTGTGTAGCGCTAGAAGCACACATAGTGTACCCGTTAGTGTACCCGTCGCCATTGTCGTTTACGTTTGTTCTCTGCTAGTGCTCCCCCCCTGGAACACAGTCTCCGGCTAAACAGGGCCTAATGTGACGCTAAATCACATTCAGCATCAGAACCCAAATGTTCATGTCCATTATTTTTGTATTTAACAATAACTACAATAATATTCAGACAAGGCTGAATATTATTTGTACATGTTGGCGTTTGACTCACACAGATATATTTTTTGACGTCATTTCAATTATTTTTCTGTTATGCTTGCATACTTCGACGCATTGAGGAATGCGTTTTAGGATACAATTGCGCTGTATTTACAAGTGTTTTGTACTTATGTCTTCAGGAAAGAGAGGAGAATGTAAAAGCAGATGTTTTCCACGCGTACCTATCATTGCTTAAGCAGACAAGGCCAGCTCAAAGCTGGCTTGCAGATCCTGATGCCATGGAGCAGGGGGAGACGCCTCTGACAATGCTACAAAGTCAGGTATAGTCTGATCGAAACAGCTTGATTCTTGAAAATGGCAGCTCTTTCTGTAATGTAGTCATTTCTGAATCCGTTCCTCACCTACAGGTTCCTATGATTGTAAAAGCACTTCACAAACAGTTGAAGGAGAAAAGCGTTAAAACCAGACAGTGTTGTTTTAACATGCTGACAGAGTTGGTGAATGTTTTGCCAGGAGCCCTCACTCAACATATCCCAGTTCTTATACCAGGTCATTATTATCAGTTCCATTTGCATTATGACGTTTTTAAAGTGCGTAATACGCACTTATGTAACTGAATCCATTCAAGATTCTAAATACAAATGTTTGTTTTTCTAGGAATAATATTTTCATTGAATGATAAGTCAAGCAGCTCCAATTTGAAAATTGACGCATTGGCCTGTCTTTACGTCATCATGGTAACTCATCCTGCTCACGCCTTCCATGCTCATGTCCCTGCCCTGGTTCCACCAGTTGTGGCCTGTGTTGGGGATCCCTTTTATAAAATTACCTCAGAAGCGCTACTCGTCACTCAGCAGCTTGTAAAGGTGATTATCATATATATTTTTTTATTTACATATATTTTTTACTTTACACTTTTTTGTTTATACTTTGTCTTTATTCTAGTATTTGTGTCCAAACGATGTTCACTGTTTTCTTGGTTTTATTCATTTCTTGTAGGTAATTCGACCTTTAGAAAACTATTCTGAAGGTGCCGATGGCTTTGACCCTTCCCCTTACATCAATGACTTGTTCACATGTACAATTAAACGCCTTAAAGCCGCTGACATTGACCAAGAGGTTAAAGAGAGAGCTATTTCTTGTATGGGGCAGATCATTTGTAATTTGGGTAAGAAAAATGTTTTGCCTTGTTACAAAGTTCCTTAAAGTGTACTGACATACTTAAAATGTGTGCATAGGGGATCGCCTCCCTGCGGAGCTTCCTGGGACTTTGTTGATCTTCTTGGAACGTCTGAAGAATGAAATTACTCGGCTCACAACTGTTAAAGGTGCTTGACATGTATGTTGATATACTAGGCGGTTAGGGTGTTTGAGTCTCAAAAAAAGGATCCGTTTTGGCACCGCCTCCTGAGTGGAGTTTGCTTGTTCTCCATTGTCACGGGTCGCTTTCGCCCCAATCAATGTGGAAAATTGACCTGCCGAGAGGACCTGGATGCCTACTCAGTGCGTGCCAGAAAAGGGAATATAGGTTGCTTCTGGGTTCCCTACATCAAACTTTTTTATAATGGGATCCTCCCCTCTGGGGCCAAAACTTCCCTGAAATAGAAATTCTGACATCTAAGTGGGACTATTTTGGTTAAATGAAAATAAACATTAAATAAACATTGTTTTTCCTCTTCGTCATTGACTTTTCCCACCATTTTTCAGCTCTGACTTTGATTGCTGGATCACCTTTAAAGATTGATTTGAGACCAGTTCTACCTGATGCTGTTCCAATTCTTGCTTCGTTCCTACGGAAAAACCAACGCGCCTTAAAGCTTTGCACATTAGCAGCACTTGACATCTTACTGAGAAACTACAGGTATGTCACTACATTTAAAAAAAAAATGACGTCTGTTTTGACGTCCTGTTACTGTTTTCTATGGTCCTTAAGGTCTCTGATGGCGCTCTTACCTGTGTCAATTTTTGGTCTGTTTATTGTCTAATGTTTATTGTGTACTGTGGTGTTTGCAAATGTATGTGGTGTAAAGCATGGCCCAAGACAAATTTCTCCTATTGAGGAGTTATTTGATCTTTTTTTTAAAACAACGTTGTCCAGCAGGACAACGTTTACAACCAAAACCAAATAATTAAATGGTTTAACCTTACATATTCATGTGCTATAAGGACCGAGTGATAGACCAGACTGTATACTATAGGGATGTATATCTCCACCACTGAGGCCGATTTGATACACATCTCGATACATTAACGATACACTGAAGTCCCTGTCGATACGATGCAATACGATTCGTTCCTATTCTCGATACGAAGCGATTCAAAGATGATTTAATAACGATATGACTGATTTGCAACGGGATTCGGTTTGACATGATGTGATCCTGTTCGATACAGTTAGTATGAGAGTTTATTAGCCCACATCAGGTTTCTTACCTCATTCTGCTTTATAATAATAATAATAAATCTTTATTTATAAAGCACTTTTCAAAAACAATGTTTACAAAGTGCTGCACAGCATAATAAACAATACATCAGTCATAATACAAAGTTAAAACAAGAATGAATGCAAGAAGACAAGACAAACAGAGGAAACACAAGACCACAAAACAGACAGGACAGACAGTAAAATACAACATTATAAGTTTAAAGCTGACAATTAAAAGCTGTTTTATAAAAGTGGGTTTTAAGAAGAGATTTAAAAGAGGATACTGATGGTGCAAGCCTTATCTCCTCGGGCAGGTCGTTCCAAAGCCGAGGAGCCCGGACAGAAAAGGCTCGATCACCTTTCGTCCGGAGCCTCGACCTTGGAATGGTCAGCAAGGACCTGCCCGAGGATCTAAGGCTGCGGGGGGGCTCGTAGGGGGTTAAAAGTTCATAAATATAGCTTGGTGCCAGACCTAAACGAGCTTTAAAAGTAATCAGTAAAATCTTAAAATCAATTCTAAATCGCACAGGGAGCCAGTGGAGGGACGCTAAAACAGGGGTGATGTGCTCCCTTCTGTTAAAACCAGTGAGAAGTCTGGCTGCTGCGTTCTGAACCAGTTGGAGGCGGGAGAGGGATTTAGCATCAAGACCGGAGAGGAGGGAGTTACAGTAATCGAGGCGGGAGAAGATGAGGGCGTTGACTACTTTATGGAGATCGGGAGGAGTGAGAATGTTTTTAATCTTAGAGATGGTGCGGAGGTGATAGAAGCAGGTTTGGGTGGTTTTATTGATGTGGGAGCGGAAGGTGAGGTGAGAATCAAAAATGACACCGAGGTTACGGGCGGAGGGAGTGATGTTTGAGGACAGGGGGCCGAGGTGGGTTTGGATGTGGGATATGGATGGAGGCGGGTTGATGAGGAGGACTTCTGATTTGGAGGTGTTGAGTTGAAGGAAGTTATGGGCCATCCAACGGTTCACATCATTAAAACAGTCGACCACAGCAGCCAGACTTCCAGGGTCGTTTGGTCTCAGCGGGAGGTAGATCTGTGTGTCGTCCGCATAGCAGTGGAAGGACACGTTATGACGGGCCATAACGTGTCCTAGGGGGAGCATATAAATAGAGAATAAAATGGGGCCTAAAATAGAACCTTGCGGCACACCACAGGTGATGGGGGCTATTGAGGAGGTAAAATCACCCATGGTGACCGCAAAGGTTCTTTCTAAAAGATAAGAATGAAACCAACCAAGTGCAGTATCTCTGATGCCAACCCACGTTTTGAGGCGATCCAATAAAATATCGTGGTCTATAGTGTCGAAGGCAGAGCTTAAATCTAAAAGAATTAAAATAGAGCACTCTCCGCTGTCCGTGGTTAAAAGAAGGTCATTTAAAACTCTAAGGAGAGCTGTCTCAGTACTGTGTTGTGCTTTAAAACCGGATTGGAATTTCTCAAAGATGTGGTTATTGTTAATAAAATCTAAAATCTGAATAGAAACAATTTTCTCTAAAACCTTAGATAAAAACGGGAGTTTAGAAATGGGTCTAAAATTGTTAAAATCTGTAGTGCTTAAATTAGGCTTCTTTAAAAGTGGTTGGACCACAGCATGTTTAAAACTGGATGGGACAAGACCTTGATCCAGGGACTGATTAAGGATTGATAAAATGGAGGGTCCAACCACATTAAAAACATCTTTGAGAAATTTGGTGGGGATGACATCGAGGCTGCACGTGGTTGGTTTCATGCGGAATAAAATGTCAGATAAAAGAGAAAGGGATAAAGGCATAAAATTTGTAAAACAACTAAAATCCAGAGTTTCTCTATTTAAAACAGTGGCTTGGCTAGGAGCAGATATTTGGGTCCGGATATCTGTTATCTTTTGAATAAAATGGTTTAAAAATAATTCACACTGTTCAGTGGATGAATCACTAAAAACACAGGGACTGGGATTTATAATAGAGTTTAAAACTTTAAATAAAACTCTGGGATTCGATTTGTTTTGGGTGATAGTGTTTGAATAAAATAAAGTTCTTGCTTCCTTGACTACGTGTTGATATTGTTTGAGACTGTCTTTCCAGGCGAGGTGAAATGCTGTAAGGTGTGATTTTTTCCATTTCCGTTCGAGCTGTCTGCATGACTGTAAGAGCTTTCGAGTGTTTTCATTGAGCCATGGTTGTGGTGTTCTGGTGGGGTTTCTTTGTTTAAAAGGTGCAATCGTGTCTAAAATCCTATGTGATGTTTGATAAAAGGAGGAGACCTGCTCCTCCAGGCTAAAATGTTGGTTAAAAGTAGTCAAGGAGGCTGCAGTAAAAAGTTGGGAAAATTTAAGAGCAGAGGTGGAGTTAAAAACACGAGAGTGATAAAATGACCCATTGGAGGCAGACTGAGGGGCTAAAATAACGTCGAATAAAATAGCTAAGTGGTCCGACACACAGATATCCTTGGTGATGACATTTCCTGCGCTGAGACCAAACGTTAAAACCAGGTCCAGTGTATGGCCCTTAGAATGGGTCGGAGCATTTATAATTTGAAGAAGATTAAAAGACTCAATTAGATCAATAAAATCAGAGGTTAAAGGGTGTGGTTTATGTGGGCAGCAGACATGAATGTTAAAATCACCTAAGATTAAAACTTTGTTGTGGAGGGCCATACACTGGGATAAAAGATCAGAGAATTCTTGAATAAAAACAGTGCTGGGTTTAGGGGGTCTATAAATAATTAAAACAAACACTGGGGTTTTACATGAAATGATAAGAGACAGGTGTTCAAATGAAGTAAAAACATTTTGTGATCCAGGAGTGCATTTAAAAGTGTTCTTAAAGATGGCTGCAACCCCCCCTCCCTTACCGCAGAGTCTTGGTTGGTGGAGGAAGGTGTAGTCCGGGGGGGTCGCTTCAATGAGGGGGGTGCAGTCGCCTTGCACTTGCCATGTTTCTGTTAAAATCATGAAGTCCAGGTTGTTGTATGTGATGAAGTCCTGACAGATGAAGGATTTATTGTTGATGGATCTGATGTTTAGAAGTCCAAAGATTGTAGGTGCAGGGTCCGGAGTGAGGGCTGTAGAGGAGCAAAGGGGAACCGGGATGAGACAGGGGAGGGAGAGTTCTCTGGAGGAGGTCCTGTGGGGTCGGGGTCTGGAGATGACAGGGATTGACTGAGGGGGAGAGCTGGGGCTGGGTCGGTGAGGAGGTGATACGGGGGGTGAGGAGGCAGATAGTCAGTTGTAGGTGGAGTGAGACTGTACTGAATGGATGATATTGGATGTGAGAAAGCGGTTTCCAAGAGGGTTGATATGAAGGCCATCAGGTCTGAAGAAGGAGGAGCGGTGCCAGAATAAATTAAAATTGTCAATAAAACCAAAGTTGTGGAGGGTTGATGCTTGTTTGAGCCAAGTGTGAAGAGCTAGAATTCTGCTAAAACGTTCATCTCCTCGGTTGAGAGTGGGTAGAGGGCCGGAGATAAAAACAGATAATCCAGATTCTGATAAAAAGTTAAAAAGGTCTCTAAAATGCAGTTTTGTGATTTCCGAGTGGCGGGATGAACTGTCATTTGAACCGATATGGATAATAAGACGGGTTATTGTAGTGGGGGCGTTTATAAGAAGGGCAGGTAATTTGTTCAGCAGTGAAGTGACAGTGGCTCCAGGGAAACAGTGAGTGGAAACATTAAAAAACCTGCAGCGTTTAATGATGGAGTCACCCACCAGAAGAGTTGTGGGTGCGAACAATGGTCGGGGGGAGGATGGAGTTATCGTAGTGGGGGGAGATGGGCGCTGAGGGACCTGAGCGGGCAGGGCGAGACCAGGAGCATTTGCGGTGGTGCCGTGAGATAAGAGCGGAGGGTTGGGAGAGAGTGAAGGAGACCGAGATAAGAGCGGAGGGTTGGGAGAGAGTGAAGGAGACCGAGGCGGTTCTGGACGGACTGAGACTGGGGCGCGGGGTGGCGTGGGAGAGCCTCGCACTGAGTCCGGACAAGGAGGTCCTCCAGCAGCAACAGAGGGCACAGCGCTGTCCACGGGGGAACCCCACGCTGGGTCAGAGCGAGGAGGTCCACCCGGGGTAGCGGTAGCATTCTCGCAGGGGTCCCGCGCTGCGTCAGAGCGCAGTGACCCTTCCGGAGCCAGGGCAGCATTCATAGGGGATCCCCGCGCTGCGCTGGAGCGCGGGGATTCCCCAATGGCTACCCCGGCGTTTGCTCCGTCATGCGCCGCGCACCGTACTGAGTCTGCGGGGCCACTCACTTGAGCAGGGCGCTGCGAGTCTCCCAGGACCGAGGCAGCTTTCGCGGGAGGACTCCGCGCTGTCTCTGAACGCGGAGATCCCCCCACTGCAGCCTCAGCCAAACCCCGCGCAGTGTCCGGGCGCAGGGGGCTCCGCGCTGGGTCAGAGCACGGAGGGCCCACGGAGCGCCTGCGGACAGCCTCCTCCACCAGTCTGCGGCGGGTGGACAGGGACACTCTGTGGTCTCGCGGCCTCTGCTCCTGGTTGAACTTGCTCTGAGGATGGCCATGCTCCGGGGCAGGACAGCTGGAGACCGGTGGCTCTAGGGCTGTATGAGGCGGCGAAGGATCCGGAACCGGGCAGAGCGCTGGATGCTCCGGGAAGAGCGCGGTGGCCAGACTCGGCCCAGGAGCGAGCGGGTCCTTTCTTCGGACCACAACGCACGAGGTATTGCTGTGGAGTGGGGTTGAGCAGGATGAGGGGTTCGGGCAGATGACAGGGTCCCAGGGAATAGTGTCGTGGTGAGCGGAAAGTGAGAGGTGTTGTGCTTGTTTTTAAATGCAATGTCCATGAATAGTTCCAGGAGTGTTTCTTTGTGTTTTAGTTCGATAGAGAGGTTATTGACAGTCAATTGTAGTTCTTCGGGAGACATAGTGCGTACTGGTTTCTTGATTATCGAGCTGGATGAAGTAAGTTGTGACTTGTAGATTTCTTTGTAGATATTAACGGGAGAAGGTGCTGTGTCCATGGTTACGTATACGGAAGTTAGCCGAGTTGCTAGCGGCAACTTTCGAAGGCTGTTGTACAGTTCGGAGGGTGATGACAGTAATCCTTTTGAGGTGCAGCTGTTAAAAGGCGCTTAATCCAATCGATTTACGCGAAAGAAACAAGTGATAAAAACGTGGGTTTTTAAGGCTTTACTCTATCAATATGAGGGATGTATTTAATATTTGGTAATGGTTATCAGAATTTGTGAAGCGTCTTTTGAGTTCTTGAAAAGCACTATATAAAACCGATGTATTATTATTATGGAGCAAACCAAGAAATCCTATTTGAAAAAAACATTATTCAGTATGTACAGAGTATTTATTTATTTGAATCCTTCATTCTCTAAAACACTGTAGACTAACTGCTATAGCAGTAAATTTCTCCTGTGTGATAAATTATATCTTATCTTATCATAGCATCAGTTAAGGCCTGGGAGCGGGCAGAGTTAGCTGCTTAGGGCGTGTTTTTGACCAAAGAAGTTTGTGATAGACCTACTGCTCGCGTCGCTTTGCTGCTGCTCTCAGTGTGGCTGGTGCTTCGGTATAATCCAAAGGAGAGGAGGGGGTAGCAGCCGCGGAGGTATCCACGGCGTGCCATCTTCTCAGATGCGTTGCCAGGTTCGTTGCACTACCCACGTATTTGATAGGCGGCGCCCGGCATTTCCGCACGCTTGACTTGTTTTTTTGGGGCCATTTAAAAATCTCCTTGCCGTTTATGTTTTGAGCGTTCATGCTTGTTTTGAACCCGAAGCTTTCGTCAGAGCCCGAGGAAGCGATGGTACATTCAGGTTGCCTTGGAAATATGACAGGGCAGCGAATAGAACAATCGATTTAACCATGGAATCTACCGATGCAGACAGGCTGGAAGAGATACATCGCAAATTCACACCTAAATTATATCCGATGCGCCATGAATGTATCAGTGTAGTTGCATCGCAGACGTTTGTATCGGACCACCGATGCGAATCGGTAAATCTTCACATCCCTAGTATACTAGTTTGGTGAGATGATTTGTAATATTCTTGGTTACTGCAGTCTCCTTTACTCATGCACACACTCTGTCCTGGCATATGTGTGTTTGTGTCAGTATGCGGTAACTGGCGCTACGAGTCAGCCTGGATATTTTTTGACCCAGTTAAAACTCTGCTTGTATATAATGTTTTTCTCTATCCAAGACAATTTTAAGTGATGTTATTACCATGACTTGCTCCAAAGTTTACGTTGTCTTTGGTTACTGTCAAAAACGTTATGGTAATCTTTGTAGACAAAATTGTTTTTTTCTGTCCCAGACAAAGACTTTGTAAACCTTCCTACAATATTGATATTAAAATCCAACTGTGTGTTTTGTACAGCTCGGCTGTCACTCCTGTCATGGTGGATGCGGTGTTGGCAGAGCTCCCTCCTCTGATCTCGGAGAGTGACATGCATGTGTCGCAGATGGCTCTGAGTTTCTTGTCCACTCTGGCAGTGACGCACCCATCTTCTCTTGGGCAGTTGACTGGGGGTAATATAATGCAACAGCTCATCACTCTCGTTAGATCCCCATTACTGCAAGGGGGTGCCCTGGCAGCCATGCTCGACTTTTATCAGGTACAACTTCAGGGATGACATCTTTAGTTTATAAACAAGGATTATAACTCTGTTTTGTGGATTTCAGGCTCTTGTGTCTACTGACACTGCTGGTCTTGGTTATATGGACTTGTTGAGGATGTTAACTGGCCCAGTATACTCTCAGAGCACAGCTCTTCCACATAAACAGGCCTACTGCTCTATTGCTAAATGTGTTGCTGCTCTGACACGAGCCTGTCCCACTGAAGGACCTGCTGTGGTTGGGCAGTTTATTCAGGTAATAATTAGCAGTGATGTTGGAACCTTTTTGTAATTTTTTTAGTAATTCTCTCTTGTTGTCTCAGGATGTAAAAAATAGCCGCTCCACTGATTCCATCAGATTGCTTGCGCTTTTGTCATTGGGTGAAGTTGGACACCATGTAGATCTCAGCAGCCAACCAGAGCTCAAGACAGTAATTCTGGATGCCTTCTCATCTTCAAGTGAAGAAGTAACTTCTGTGCTGTAAAATATTGCTGATTGCTTATTTTCTTTAAAGAATAATTTACCTGTTTTTTGTTTATCAGGTAAAGTCAGCTGCTTCCTATGCGCTTGGTAGCATTGCAGTGGGAAATCTTCCAGAGTATTTGCCTTTTGTACTACAAGAGATCTCCTCCTCCAAAAGACAATATCTATTGCTTCACTCATTGAAGGAGATAATCAGTAAGATGAAAACATATCAAGTGTTTAGTGAGAGATTTTAAAATGTTTTGTTTGTTTCAGGTTCAGCATCTGTATCTGGTCTTAAGCCATATGTAGAGTCTGTTTGGTCTCTATTGCTTAAACACTGCGAGTGTCAAGAGGAAGGAACCAGGAATGTTGTGGCAGAATGTTTGGGCAAATTGACCTTAATTGATCCTGAAACTCTCCTCCCACGCCTCAAAGGATATTTGCTCTCTGGTAAATGCCACCCGGTTACCATCTTGGTATAAATAATTAGTTTTTAAATAATCAGTTTTTCCCCCACTTTTGTAGGTACTTCATATGCCAGAAGTTCGGTGGTAACTGCAGTAAAGTTCACAATCTCTGATCAACCACAACCTATTGACCCACTGTTGAAAAACTGCATAGGTAACACAGCATATGGAATAGTGTTTTTTAAGTGCATGTTTTATATTTATATTTACTTTTATTGTAAAGCCTTTGTTCTGCTTAGCTGCATTGGCTAAACTTACTCTGCCTTTATTTTTTATGGAACCATGCACCATAATGCATCCCGATAATTTCAACCAATACAATAACCGATTGTTTTCAGATTCAGATTAATTTATTTGCCATTTGCAGTAAAACCACATTGGAAAAACTGCAAGACTACCCCAGTGTTAGCCTGGTTGTACCACACCACAGTACAAATTACATTTCGTACTAAGGTCTGGATTTGCTCCATTGAGCTCCGTGAACAGGTGGGAGGGGTTAACTCCTTTTGCAGATTGAAACGATTGGATCCGAGTTTACCGTGACGTATGTAGTGCGCCCAAGTCTGTTGTTAGCATTTAGCATTTAGCCTAGCCCTCTCCTTTGCCGCTAACGGAGCCCGTGGGGAGTAGCGCCACAATCTTGACCAGCGATTACATTTGCTAAACATTCCTCTTGCTCCTGCTTCAATTTCTTGATAGAACCAGACCGGATTACTTTACTATCGCATTCTTCGCCATTGCCAAACTACAACCTGCCCGTTCGACGCAAACTCTTGACGTCACCGGCACCGACCTACAACACCCGCCTTCCGCGCTCTCCTAGTAGCCGGTCGAAATACGACCGATTGTATTCGCTAACACAGGGACCAGACCCAGACGTTGCAGGCTACCCCAGTGTTTTTTGTGTGAGACTATATCAATGACTGGTGATACCAGCTGACATTTTGCCTAATTACCAGCATTCAAATTATAGCTATTATTTTTTATTTTATTTATTATAGCTACTTAGGTCCTAGGAGTTGTGTCCTTGGGCAAGACACTTAACCCTACTTTGCCCAAAAGCCCCAACTGAAAGATCTCAGCTCCTGTGGACTCACCACCTGCAGGAGGATCAGTGAGGGGCTGGTGCTCTGTGGACTGGGTGCAGCTCTGACTGCCACCCCCCCGACCCAGAAATGGATTAAGGGGAAGAAAACGGATGGATGGAAGGTCCTAGGAGTTCTCCCCATGTCTGCATAGGTTACCTCCGAATACTCTGTTCCTCTATCACTAAAAACATGTACAATACGTTGGCCTACCTCTTATCACAAAATTGTCTTTGACATAAGGAAAGGGGCTGATTCTGGGCTCCAGATTGCACCACAGCCTCCCGTTGTTTATCTCAGTCATACGATGGTAATAAACCTCTGTTGAAAACCCTTACTGTGTGATGCCCATCAAACGCTGTGCACTGCGTTTGAGCTTTACTGTCACAGTATCTCTGGGTACGGAATCCATTGTTTTTATATGAACGTTCAAGTGTAAAAGTGCATTTTTAAATTATTCAAATTATACAAGTAAATGGAGCAAAGATCAAACTATTTAAAATTCCTTCTTCCTCCTTCCCAAGTCGTCATAAAGTTTTTAATTGTGAGACTACATTTTTATGTTTTTGTTTCCTCAGGTGATTTCCTAAAGACTCTGGAGGATCCGGATTTGAATGTACGACGTGTTGCTCTTGTCACCTTTAACTCTGCAGCACACAATAAACCTAGTCTAATCAGAGAGCTACTGGACTCAGTTTTGCCACAATTGTACAATGAAACAAAAGTCAGAAAGGAGCTGATTCGAGAGGTCAGTTTATCTATTATTAGTCATTTTTTGTCAACATTTAACATGATTTTCTTTGTAGGTGGAGATGGGTCCGTTCAAACACACAGTGGATGATGGATTAGACCTGAGAAAAGCTGCGTTTGAGTGCATGTACACCCTATTGGACTCATGCCTGGACCGGATAGACATCTTCACTTTCCTTAACCATGTTGAGGACGGTTTGAAGGATCACTATGATATTAAGGTATTAGAATTAATACGTTCACCAAAAAGTGAATAAAGGAGAAGCATCTTCGGATGTAATTGTAGTCATTTATTTCCGACTCAAATTAAATTGGTCCATATAAAAAAAAAAGTGTGACTCCAGTGGTGTTACAAGATGATACAAATGTAAATGTCTTCTCCAGTTCATGCATTCAGATTCTTTAATTTAAAAAAATACTGATTATCATTTTTTTTTTTAGATGCTGACATTCCTTATGCTGGCCAGATTGTCCTCTCTTTGCCCCAGTGCTGTTCTCCAGAGACTTGACCGACTAGTTGAACCTCTGCGGGCAACATGCACTACAAAGGTAATAACAATAGAAACTAAAAGGGTAATATGTTAAACAATTTCCTCATCCACCTTGAACTTTTTTTTCCCAAGGTGAAGGCGAACTCTGTGAAGCAAGAATTTGAGAAGCAGGATGAGCTGAAGCGATCAGCTATGCGAGCTGTTGTTGCACTGCTAACGATCCCAGAGGCTGAAAAGTCCCCCTTAATGTCAGAGTTCCAGTCTCAGATCTCATCCAATCAGGAGCTGGCTGCCATCTTCGACTCAATTCAAAGGGACTCCAGCTCCGCTAACATGGAGTCCATGGACACCAGCTAAAGAGATGAACATTTTCATGGTACAACGATGACACCATTGAGCTGCTGGAGCTTCAAACCTGCAGCACGTTTCCATCACAGCAGGATGCAGACACGCACAGACACACACATAGAAACGTTTAGTGACACTCTCCTAGTGACCCTTTCGAGATGTGTTCAGTGAATTCCACTGTTGTGAAAGAAAGGAAGAAGACTTATGGACTAACTATTATAATATAAAACAATGATTCCAGAAAATGCATTCATTTTAAGGCTTGGAAATTTCCATTTTTTTTGTTTTTTCTCACCATAGCCATCAAAATGGCCAACTTGATTACTCTTTTTGTTATTTCCAGATGATTCAAAAAGCATCCCATTTTAACTGGTGTGATTGGCTGTTGCTTAGAGACTACCTGACAGTTTCTGATACTAAACTATTCAAGGATATGGGGCCTGTAGCTGGGGTGACTGGTGACCAATAGGAGGTGGCTTGATGATTGGTGGTTGATGTAAGCAGCCAATGTCATTCTTGGGATAATATTGGTGACAGTTTTACCGCTTGTGGAGCAATCGGTTTCTCTTTTTCCCAAGGTAATTGAGTCAATATCAAACCCTTCACACTGAGGGTAAAATGAGATGTCATTAGACCAGGTCTTTATGGACTAGATCAGACTGGACCAGACTGGACCATTCATTCTTACTGTGTTGTCCTAGTAATACAGTTATAAAGTAAGCAGCATTATTTTGTATTGAACATAAACTTTAACCATTCTGGGCAGTGTTTGTTTCTGTCCTAGACTATGAGTCTATTTGGGTGAATAACATAAATCTGGTTTGGTCTGGTCAGAAAAATATTTTTTTTGCCCAAGAAAAATAAAAGTCAATTTCTGCCTGCCTCCATAACGTGGCCTATTTTTGTGTGTTTGGTATGTTACCTGCAAGAGTCAATTTGATTAAATTAATGAATTATGGAAAGGTTTCAACACCAATAATTAAAACTCTGGTCTGGTCTAGATGTTCACAATGCTGGTCAACCTGTGGACTATGGGATGCTTATTCATACATGGTTTGATCAAATATGATTTACATTCAGTCTTTTATTAGATATATGCTCATCAGGTGGAAAATGCAAATTTGGCTCTCTTAAATGGTCACTTAGCAACAGCTTTTTGATGTTTGTGATTTGGCCAGTCTTAACTTCAAAGGTAAAAATCAGCATTTCAATGTTCACTAAAGCCCAATCATTTGTGAGGTGCTTGTGGTGCTGAGATGTTTATTATTTACCATCACAGTGTTGCTCAGCATGTAAGGACAAGCAGACCTGGACATTTAGAAATTTGAGACTTCTGTAATTGCAACATGATATTACAACTTATGTTTTTCATATGCAAATGAAGATATTCTGTTCAAATATAAAATGTTCCCAAATGCTTTTAAAGGGAAGTTGCTTGGGTGGGGGTTAGCTATTCTTGGTGACTCCTTCCTGTTAGGGTGTGGTCCTAATGTACCTCCAGGCCCAAGTTCCACAGGCTCCAACATGCTCTGCTGCTGTCTGGGTGAAGAGAATTGTATCTACACTCATTGAGAGGCATGGGCTTAACTATAATCACTAGCTTCATTATTTTGGTTGGACTCCATACCATAAGCCCAATATAACCATACTTTACTACACTGAACTTTTTTCTCAAACAACTGTACACATTCTTTGCTAGGTCGAACTGTCTGGGAACCCTGTAAGTCTTTGTGAAGTTGAGGTCCTGTAGTTTTGTCCTGAACACTCATTTACTTTGTTTACTTATTTAATCTGTACATCACATGTTCTACAGTAAACTTAAAGGCTGTTGTCTGAGTGGTAGGATCTCTGACTATAGAATGACCACGTTTAGGGTTTAACAAGTCCCCTTTCACAGATGTCACTGCAAATGGAACGCAATTAAATTAAATGTAGGCACCTGTAATAAAGCAAAAACCTCCTGGTGGAACCCATATCAAATTATTTACTATTCAGCTAAATTTTGGATTTGAATACGTATTTTAATCTTTCCCATTTACAGGAGTTTGATTTATATATTAATTGGCTTTCAAAAAATTAAGTGCCTGTACAGGAACACCCCCCTGTTGAAAGTTAACCCAAGATGGCCATTATATTATAAGGGATTGGAAAATAAGCGTGTGGGCCACAAACGTAAATGCAGTCTATTGCAAATGAATGCAGTGTATTTTCAGACTTTACTATGAAAGGAAACGGGCAGCAGATCCTGTCTGTGGCCTGGGTGTTTTATTTTGCCCATAGGCGGAAGTGCGTGCGTGTGACTGGTCTCAGCGGCAGCAGGAGGGAGCGGCTGACACTGGAGAGCGCGTAGCGGAGAAGACGGGTGAATGTCTGTAAGTATGTCTTCATTGCGTTCAATCGTGGTTTTCTTTCCTTCCTTTTATCACTTTGTGTACCCCGTATGTGGAGGCTGGAATACGGCCGGTCTACAGGCTGCATGAAGCCGTGAAGCAGACGGCACCGGTGGGGCTGGGTTTGCGGAAGCGATCGCGGGCACACGGAGGGGAAGACAGGACATGGGCCGTGCTGACAGCACGCTTCACAAACCCAGATGTCAGTTTAAACATGGTTTAAACAGTGGCTGTCGTTTGGGCCTCAGGCTGGAGGTCTGCTGGTGGTCTGCTGGTGGTCTGTGCCTCAGCCCAGACTGTCTGCTCTGGGCTCCAGTCTGGGCTCCAGTCTGCTCCAGCTCCGTCCGCGCTGTGCGCACACTTCTGTCACTGCATGGCTTGTTATGAGCCACAGACCTAACTCTGCTGCTCGGAGAAAAACTGAGCTAAGAGCTGAAAGTAACTTCTAAAAGAGGACATTCCTGCAGAGTTTAACAGCTCACATCACGCCTGTCACGGAGCGAGGCGTGCGTTTATGTCGTGGAGACCTCGGTCAGCAACAAGCGCATATTGACAGGCCCCACCTAGATCTAGTCGACTCAGGGATATGAGAGCGTGTCCAACTTTACATCAGTAGATTAACAATGTCCTGCTTCTGTTTAATTAGAAAGTAGCGTCGGCCGTCGTTCTTGGCTAAAGGAGGAACTTTAAAACTAGACGTAGCACATTTTTTGGGCAACTAGAGTAGAAAGTTGTGTGCCTCTGGGTCAGTATTGCTGAATTTCAAAAGACAATCTTCCATCCATCCATCCATTTTCTTCCCCTTAATCCATTTCTGGGTCGGGGGGGGGGGGGGGCAGGGGCAGTCAGAGCTGCACCCAGTACACAGAGCACCAGCCCCTCACTTATCCTCCTGCAGGTGGTGAGTCCACAGGAGCCAAAAAAGACAATCTTATCAAAATAATTAATTCCCACGCTATCCAGTAATACACACCATATTATGATGTATGACCATTGTACTGTAAAGTTAGGGAGCTATTTGTATTTGTACTTGCAGTACTGTAGCATGAGCTGTCTTAACTCCATCAAACTTTCATAATGTATACATTTACAGAATTAAGTATTTCTAAAAAAAAAAAAAAAAAAACAACAATAAATTCGTGTTAAAACAATTCGAGATGGAGTGTCTCTGGGGACCTGTTGCTGTTTATTTGCATACATTGGAGATCACAGTGGTGTTGATTCATTCATTGAGCTGAGCTTCACTTCTGCTGGTGGTATCTTTCTGCACAGTGCTCAGCTTGCCTGGACTTGTCAAAGATCTGCCATGTTTCGGTTGTCATGCATGCAGTCGATATCATGAAAGACAACTAACAGGTGACTTAGTTGGTCAAGGTAGGGTTAGGTAAAACACTGGAGGTGATGTTAATGTTTTAACCCCACTCCACCTACACACGCAGGTGTGTATCATCTCCATGGTAACCTTGACAGAGCCAAAGAGTATGTTGTGAGCGTGTGTCGTGTTGCCTCTTGTTTCTGCAGACTCAAGTTAGGCATGACTGGTATGTATAAACTCACATGCACAGTGTCCTGATGGGCCACACAAATCGTAACCAGGAAGACTTGTGACATCACTGCCAGCTGCATGGTCACATGACTATTGTGCGTTTAACTCCTCAGCTGCTACCCCATGTGTAATTATTACCTTCAATAGAAAAAAGGGGGAGTGGATTGGTTCATTGTAAAAGGAGCTTCCTACATTCTGCCTAGGATTAGTTTGAAGTCCGTGATTCACTTTTCTTTCCTTTCCTTTAGGTGACAGAGTCAGGATGCGAGAATACAAGCTGGTTGTGCTGGGATCTGGAGGTGTCGGAAAGTCAGCTTTGGTAAGAGAACACATTTGTTTTATCATTTAAATCTCATTATATTTACACCAAGTTAACTTTGCATTTCTCACATTGACAACATTTCAAAATATGGCTGGCTTTAAAACAATCTTCATTGATATTTATGATATGTCAAAGTAGTTTTGGAACAATATCTTAAAATGTATAAATTCAGTCAATTGTGATTGTGTTTAGTTCATCCTCCTCGAACACATCAGAAGCCATAACACTTAAACACTCCTACAAACCTGGCCCTGCACTGTCCGTTGTTAGTCTACACATGCTGGCAGTGTTGTTGAAACCACAAAGGAGTACTCTCAGACAAAATAATGGAGATGTCAGTGTGTCACATTAATTCCAATCTAATGACTTCCAAAAGAGGACAGCACAGAGCACCATTAACACTACTGGCCTATTTCCCTTTATCTCACCGCATGCTCTCCCTCTGTGCCCGTCTGCCCCCCAGACAGTCCAGTTTGTCCAGGGAATCTTTGTGGAGAAATATGACCCGACAATAGAAGATTCATATAGGAAGGTAAGGGTCATTGTTTGTATGTAATCTTAATTCTCTATTATCTCCTATTGTCTCATACAGTGTCTATTGAACATTTCCTTAGCTTTGCATGTAGATTTTTCTTGACAGAACTTGACAGTTTTTGAATATTTTTGTGGCGCAGTAAAATGCTGGGCTTGCTTCTCCACAATCCTTACTAATACATGTCCAGAAGCAGTTCCTCCTCCCATTTCCCACATTGTGGTTTTAAAATACATATTTCAACAGGGTATGTTTTTAGTGTGGTTTATTAAAATTGAATCTACCTTTTATGTGCCTTTTTATTTTCTTATTAGGTGGATAGATTAGGAAAGGAAAAAATTAAGATGAACAAAATAACATTGTTGGACATGTTAACCTTTGTTTTATTAATCGAAAATAATCTACCCCCATCTCATCTTTCAGCAAGTTGAGGTTGATGGACAGCAGTGTATGTTGGAAATCCTTGATACAGCAGGAACAGTAAGAACATTTTGTCTAAATGTATTGATTATTTTTTAATAATGAAATTAAATGAAATGTCTCTTTGCTTCTTTTCTTCCAGGAGCAGTTCACTGCGATGAGGGACTTGTACATGAAAAACGGCCAGGGCTTTGCCTTGGTTTACTCAATCACTGCTCAGTCAACATTTAATGACCTGCAGGACCTGCGAGAACAGATCCTGAGAGTGAAAGATACAGAGGATGTAAGTTCTGCAGTACATTTATAACGGTCTTAAAGATGACACATGTGTTTTCTTTTCCTTAAGGTTCCCATGATCCTTGTTGGCAATAAATGTGATCTCGAGGAGGAGCGAGTGGTGGCCAAAGAGTCTGGCCTGGGCCTTGCTCGCCAGTGGAACTCCTGTGCTTTTCTAGAGACATCAGCCAAGAGCAAGATCAATGTCAACGAGGTGGGAAAACACGTGTCATTTCTGACTTCTCTTTGGGGGCATTTTGGGGTAAACGAGATTGAACAGAAGTGACATGTGTACAAAATATGATTGCTTGTGTTCCTGTATAGTCTCAGTAACAGAGGAACGCCTGTCTTCAATTCATGTTAATTGGACAAAAAATACCTGAGAAATCCACTTTTTAAATTTTCAATAACATTTGGAAATTAAGTTAATGTTTTTTAAAGCAATAATGACAATTCAAATCAGAGAGCAGAATGTAGCAAATAGTTGTTTTTGTTTTTTGTTTTTTATAACAAATTTTGTGAACAAAAAATAGCATGTTAATTTGTTTTAAATTACTGCTGTTCCTAGCTAAACCCCAATAGGTGGATTCCATCAGTAATTGGTTAGATTGTGTAATGACTTTATTACACCACTAATAGTGCATATTGCATACTGTCCCTTAAGTATACCAATTCAAAAACAAAGATAAGTGTAGTTAAAGAGTGACTAAACACCAAATCAACTTTTTTTTAAACTCACAAACTGCATAAATATGTTTATTGTAGCGGTCTCTACATATCCTGGTTATTTGTTTGACATTTTAGTGCAAATAAGATCAAATCTCACTTTTTAGCCTAAAAACGTCTGTGTGGTGCCCTCTCAACCTTTTCAGTGGTACTACATTTGAATTTGGTCCTGGCCTCTCCATTGACTCTGTAATACTGTGTGTCATGCGTCTCTCTGCGCCAGTGATATAAACCCATTCAACTCTCTCACGCGCCCAGCTGCAGGTTGGAGTATTCTGGCGACATCTAGTGGATTAAAATTAAATTACATGAGTGGACAACCACAGGTGCTGAGATAATTCTATGGATTAGGTTCAGGTGTGTAGCTCTGCATCTTAGTGTGTAAACAAGGGTGGAATGAGACTTTCTGGTGTGTTGCTTTAAGCAGCAATGACAACTGTCGGCTCAATCACAGCCCAGACCACGCCCAACTCTAAGCCCCCCTTGTCCCTTGGTCCTCCAGGCAACGCCCTTTTTTGATAAAAATTTTAATTGTTCATGTGGGCAGAGTTAAGCTGGTCACAGGTGTTTAGTCGCTCTTTAAGCATATATTCTCATATATATTTGCATATTGGTTAAATATTGACCCCTTTAGGTTTGTGTGTCTCCTGCCTTGGTTCGGAAAAGAGACCAAAGGTGTGAGACCTCAATAAAATTGCCTGAATAAACTGGAATAAGCTGGAATAAGCTAACTCAAGCTAACTCAACAGGCTCCATTAGCAGGAATTTGGAGCCAAATTATGAAGGCTACTCTCCACTTATAGTTTCATTTACTAGCCAAAGTGGAATTTGGGGATAGAAGTCACCCGATTGGACAGTTCCTCTGGGCCATATAAGGATTTACAAAGACAATGAATAAACTAAAGGGTTGATATATTGAGGAGCTGGCATACAGCTGTGTTCAGACCAGATCAAGATTTGCCTTGGGTTTACCGGCACATGCAGTCAATGTGGCTCGCTTTTATGCGGCCTGTGTTTTTGCTTAACTCTTGTGGCATCAACCAATCAAAGCAGCCCCACTGACATGTTAGGAGGAAATCTCTTACACACAACTTTATCCAACATTTAAGCCAGCTTTAAACCTGCACTGAAAATGAAGGGAAGTGTTTGACGAAATCAAAGCAGCCCCACTGACCCTGAGAAGTTTTCATCTCTGACTGGGTCTAACTAGTGTTCTAGTAGCGGATAAGATTTGGCAGTATTTATGTCATTTACAAGAGAACAAAAATGAAGTGTATCCATCGCCATTTTATTTTCAATGAGTCCCAAACCTGATGATTTGTGTTCATATGGATTGTTTGCTCTTTCTATAGATCTTCTATGACCTTGTGCGGCAAATAAATAGAAAAAGTCCAGCTCCTGGAAAAGCCAGAAAAAAGTCCACCTGTCAACTTCTCTAATGACAAGTAGGTATTTGCTTATGCTCTTTTGTTGTGCATAAGAAAAATGCCTATTCACAAAAATATATTTTGTACAGGTTTGGTTTTACCTGACCTATAAGTTATGGGATATCTTCTAACTGGCCATGTCTCAACACATTTCATCATCAAGATCAGCTTCACTTGTGAACACTGGCTTCTCTTACAGCCTCATACAACTACCGGACACTGCTGCCTTGGAAACATTTAAACCAAAACTTCAATAGACTGGCTGCTTTGATGACTGATAAAGAGGGTTCTACCTGTTGCACGACTTGGTCAGTTTAAAAAGACTGCCTGAAAATATTCCAACGTTTGCCACAATGCTCTTTAGATGGCCATTTTAAGCCTGGAGTTGCCTATCGCTTTCATTTTGAAGGCTTTTTTTGTCTTTTTGATTTTTAAACAGTGTAGAGCCATTCTCACACTGTCCATTTCCTTCCGCATTTATCAAGGCTGACTTTTTGTTTTAATTGGTTGTAACCTGTGGATGTTTCTGCCGTAATAATTTTCTTTGTTCAGTTAATTTACCATGTGTTTAGTAATCTATTATGACAATGTTTGTATCTTAACTGTTCTGTTGGGGTGGGTGTAACAGATTATGAGATGTTTCTCACTGTGCTAAATATTGTTTAATTTCTGATCTTGTTTAGTTACTCAAATATTTAATTATTTTGAAATGCAACCATTTATGATAGATATGGTATATTTTTTAAGTATTGTCCATCAGAGGTATACGTTGACTGAATTTCCTTTTACATTTCAAGGTCCTATACAGGCAATGTTGGCATAGAACATTGTTTTTGGTCAGTGAAGCCTTGGCCGCAGTATTTGGGTAACATTTGTTCCAATTTAGTGTAAAATTTTCAGTGTGATATTTTTTACAAATAATTTTGTGAATTTGAAAAACTTATGAGACAACATTAATTAAATATACGAAAAGTGTTATTGGCAAGATGAACTTGTAATAGATATGCTAATGGGTTATAAAGGCAAGTTGATTTTGTGCAGAAAGAATAAAGTGAGCTGCCTTGAGTCTGCTCTAGGGGGCGACAAGCTGCCTTATGCTTTGAACACAGGCCTCACAGTACTTTACTGTAAAATGAGCAAGAATAAAGATGTTCATACATTAACGCACTCCAGTTTGTGAGAAATGTTTAGTTAGAAACTTTATTGATCCTCTTAGGAGAAAGTCAGGTGTACAGTAGCAGCAAAAACACCCATCCACACAAACAAAATACATTTTATTTTTACCATTGTTAGCTTTTAAGAATTATCCACAGCACTTCAGGTCACAGCAGCAGAGGTGGTGTAGCATCTGAATGGAGCAAGCCGGGTCACAGCAGCAGAGTTTTTCCTGTTTCTTCTAGAAATAGTTGGAGATGAATTATCCAGCCAAAAAAAATTGATCTGGCCAAACCAGGTCAAAGGTTACGTGCGTTATTTAAGTTCGCATTTGAGTTCTCTCACTATTAGCAATTATTTTAGGTAACAGTAATACTTGTATTTTATTGATTTATCCTGTAACACTTGAGGGTTTGAAAGGCACCTAGAAACAATGCATTTTATTATAAATGTTTTATTAACTATAACATTATTTATGTTACTATCACCCCCGACAATAATGAGGATGATGATGATCGGCGCGGAACTGAATAATCGCCACATGAGATATTTTAAATCCCTTTTTTCCCAAACACTAGTAGCTCATTGTGCAACTCGATTGCATTTTTAAAAACTGTTTCATTGTAATAGACTTATAGAACATCTAGTAGACCAATAACCATAGACATATAAAGATCTTATAAAAAGAAAATCTGTATATGTCTATGCCAGTAACTAGTAGACGGGCGTTTTCCTCAAGACATTCTGCAAACACGCATGTGCAGCTTGTGCTACCATGGTAACGAGCCAGCTTGGGACAAAGACGGAAGTACGAGGATTCTATCCAAGCACACGCCTGTAACAAAGCAATTGTTGCTGCTGCTGTGGAATGTTTATTTAGGACGTAAAACTATGTATGCAAAAAGAAGGCATGAAAGTTCGTTTCAAGGTAACACTAGTTTTAGATTTTGTTTTTTCTATTAGCATGATTGCTAGTAACAAGAAAACGGTAATGCTGCTTCAAAGTTCATACAACAGAGTTTAACGCTATATATTAACCGGTAGTTAATGTTGTGTCAACTGATTAATGGTTACCTGCTTCATTGAAATATTAACACCATTATTCCATGTACAGTACGATTACTAGATTACGTGCCTGGTTTAACCTAGGGGTTTAACGCTGGTCTGATAATCTCACTTGACCATGGATCTATAATAATAACGCACTTGACTCACTGATACATCTTTAATATAGGCCACGTGCCGAAAGCCAAACTAAGCCCAGAAATACACTTTCATTCCAGGATTCTGTGTAATACTTTCCAGTGGTGTCCTCCTATAAGTAGAATAGTTTAAGATATCTTAGAAAAGTTCCACAAGAGAAATCTCTGTTTAGTGAGAAATGTTATGTTGAAGTTGAGGTTTAGAGGGAAAATTGGACATTTTAGCACCGAGCATCAAGTTTGTGGTGCTATATCTCCATCATTATTCATCAATACAAATACTTAGCCCCCAATAAATGTTGCCCCAAATAGTAAGCCTAGATAAATATAGAATATTGGCTCAATAGTCGCATACAAAAACGCGCATAGCCTAAACTTTTAGGTCACTCCTATCAAACAGTCAGTCACTTATCTTCCACAGAATAGCAATTTCTTGTAAACCTACAACTATCTGTCTTAAAGCCCCATTACTGGCTGCTTCAGACAATTTAGGATATACCAAACACATTTTATTATTATTATTGATATTAATAATAATGATAACAATAATAATAATAATAATAATAATAATGCGTTGGTTTTATACTATGCTTTTCAGGACGCTCAAAGACGATTCACATGTCATTATTCTTTCACTCCATACACAGTGGTGACAAACTACTATTGTTGCCACAGCTGCCCTGGGGCAGACTAATATAAGTGAGGCAACCAGTACATGCCATCGGCCCCTCCCACCACCACCAACCATTCACCACACACCAGACTCATTCTAATGTGGGGGTTGTGTCTTGCCTAAGGACACAAGCACAGCTTGGCATATTACAGCCACAGCCACCCCACTGTGGCACCTTGTGTTCCCAGTGGTCTCCCATCAGAGTACTAACCAGGCCCTGCCCTGCACAGTGATTTTAGACTACAACCCATATCAAATCCAATTACAAAATCATGAAGTAAAGAGCACCAATAATTACCATATCTCCAATATATTTAAATAATATTCAATTGCAATCCTTGAGAAAATGTTTTACCAATCTTTTCCCAAAATATTTCAAATGACAAGAATATGAACAATAATAGGGATATTATGTATTTAATAGCAAATTGTAAGCCAGCCCTTCCCATCTGGAGTGCTGCTGCCCCTTTGCCCATAAACAAATCCTCTTCTAAAATGTCACCAAAATGTCAATATTCTTGTGAAATATAGAGTTTTACGAAATCTTTTGCTTTTAAATTCAACCAAGACCCATGCATATACATTATGTGGGTTGTATAGATCAAGATTTAAATGCAGTAAGTCTAACAAAATATCTATAAATGTCATGAAATCTCTCAAATCTTTGTTGTGTTGAGGAAGTGACTTTGAAGTTCACCAGGGTGGCTTGGATCTCACTAGGGAAAAACTGATATAAGCTATGTATTGACAGATATAGAGCTCTGTATGTAACGCTAACCAAAACGCTCTCTCTCTGTTTTGCCTATCAGAGTCAGACTGAATATCAGAGAAGTTACAGGTCGAGAAGCGCTTCACCCCTGCGCTCTGCACAGTTTGCTGGGCTTCGCTCTGATCATATGGGTAAAGATTCAATTCAATTCATTCTTTATTAAGAACACAGATAGAACTGGTTCATAGATTAAAAAATAATAATAATAATAATAATAATAATAAACCAAAGAGATTGGTCTTCACTAAAAACCTTCCATCCCATTTGTTTTTAGATTGCTCTTCTCATTTTAAGTTATTGCACATTCTTTTTAATGTCTATGAATTCAGATTTTAATTGAAACTTCATAAACGTCAGGTATCAGTCAAGAACCATGTTTCCAAAGACGAAAGAAGTTCAATTCCCATCATCCCCCTTTGCCTTGGAGAACTGTAAATAAATCTGCCAACGAAAATGCAGCAGCTGGTAAAGGAAAACAAACTTATTTTACATTTGGATTCCAAAGAAGGCACAATTTTTAATAATTTTCTCTTAGCCGAACCTGGACCACTGCCCACTGGACAGCCATCAGAAAAGACAATGGTCACTGAGAAGCATGGTACAATTACTGTCTTAGCAGAATAAGTATTATTTTCTCACTTTGATTTTTAATTTGATTGTTTGCTTACTCATTAGAAACAAGCGACCAGTCTCAACAGCACAAGAGCTATTCACCAATACTTTTGAATTCACAGGAAACCTCCAGGAATAATGTGAGACACTATATGTGACATAAATGATTTTTGCAGATAAAAATCAAATTTGTTTTGTTCTGAAACGTACACATATTTTAATTAAGCAGGCACTACGTAAAAAAGCTGGACTAAAGTTGACAAGATCTGCTCTGCACAAAACTGAGTATAACAGACAGTTTGGCCAAAAAATGGCACCAGCTGCTCCTTCTCCCATGTTGACCGCAAACGAGGTAAGAGTACACAACTTTTTTAACCTACCCACAATTATTTACTGTACTTACTGTACCGTTATGGCTTTATTAGTGGCTTTATTAATATAATTGAACTAAACACTGCATTTGCCCTTGCAGGCTCTCCGCTCGAGTCACATCATCCCACCTTTTAAGAACCACCCTGTAGCTATGGATACCGAGTACCAGCGTAGTTTTAAAGGCATTGCCCCAACCACAAGTCCACGGCTTCGGAAAAAACTGGAGAATGAAATAACCCCGTTGTTCTACACACATGTGGTAAGTGTAATATTAACTGCAGAGTTCTATGTCTTTGCCTGCCCAGAAGATCTTTGAATGTTCGTTCTTGGACTCTATGCATTTTTTACTCAGAGCTTGAGGTCATAATCCGAAGAGGACAAGAAGAGTAAAAAAATGTACTCTTCACTGTCTCACCGCCTGAAGAGCTAGCTGTCTCCCTGCATCTGGCAGAGGAGAACCAGCCATAAGATTTCCACAGCTGCTGCTTCTCCTGGATTAGCTCTGTTCTGAGCACAGACCTTAGTGCTGTTCGTATGCCCACACAGAGAGCCTAGTTTTTGGCGGGACTGGTCTCTCACGGGCAGACAGCAAGGGAGAAGGTACAGATGGCTGTGGAAAAGATTGCATAAAACTTTTATTGTTGGTTTTACGAACAACAGATTCTAACTTGGGGGAGCCGCCACCCATCCAGTTTGCAATATTATAACTAGTGTCCACCGCTTTGTGCAGTGTCCTTTGACAGCTATGAATGAATATGATCCAGTTCTCCTAACCATGCAACTACTGGAGATCCCCAGACGCTACACTGCAGCAATCACGGCTCCTGACTGGTTTCCCTAGTAGCATCAGTTGGATGGGATTTGCCTCTATCTTTGGGCCCATTAGGCCTACTCTTGTCTTGCCTGAGTTCAAAGAGGGCGTGATGATCTTCTCACGGCTGACTGTGGATAGGATAGGATCCTGTGGTTGTTTGTAGTTGATCAAAGATCTTCTCAGGCGCAAGACTTGAGCCATGAGTGCTAGCCAATAGCGAAGCCTGTAGAGGGCTACATACTTTTATAACTACAGTTACATTAACTTGAATTTAAGATTTATAAATGTGGCATTAAGTATAGAAATCTAATTCAGCCATGACTGTCTGTCTGCTTATCACATTACTACCATAGGATAAGAACACGAAGTTGCCCAAGAACAAGCCTAATCCGAGAAATGACATGCCAAGTCCAGAAGTCAAGGTCGACAAGCAACAGTCATCTCCAAAAGAAATGTTCCCTGACTCTACTCTGTCACACTCAAAGACACACAGGTGCGTTGTACCCTGGAAAACGTATTCATGTTATTGAAGCCAGTTTAACATAAATAACATCCTTTCTCTCCAGGGTGTTGACAGAATATGAATCCAGGTTTTGTTCCCCAGAAGAAATAAATGATACCACAAGCCACACACCACAGGTCAGTATCACACCATTTAAAAAAACAGGATGGGGGATAATGCAGAAATACCATATACATGTTTACGCCATAGTATACTCGTGACCAAACATAACATGCACCTGCCTCGGCCAAATGAATCAAGCTAGTGGTGCCCAGACTTTATCTAAGTAAGATCTACATTTTTGCAACCATCTCTGGAAGATCAAGGAGATGATGGTGGATTTCTGCATGCACCACTCTGTTACTCCCACTCCAGTGAACCTCCAGGAAAGGGATGCGAGAATGGTCTCTTACAAGTGGTTTGCTAAAATGTTAATGCAAAACAAAATTATTCAGCATATCTTTTTTGAGTGCAACCAATACGCTTTAGATTTCCTGATGCCGAGTCAATTGTGTTTTGTTTTTAATGTATGTGAGGGTGAGAAGTTGGGTACAGTATGTGTTCATTAGAATGTTGCTGTGTGCAGTCTATGACTCTAAGATGGGGTCCAAAATTAACTATTTAATGTCTTGACAACGACAAAGGGTAGAATGCCTGAAATCTGAGGTGATCTCCATCCTTGAGACAAAGGTTTCATCTGTATGAGATGAGTCAGCTTTGGTCCATTCTCCAATTCAACAATAAAAGGTAACGCCAGAGCCGGAACACTCAGAAGAAACCTACGCAGACACAGGGGAACATGGAAACCCTGCAGTAACAGGGATTCAAACCCAGAACCTTCTGGATGAGATGCGAGATTATTCAGCCACCGCAGCATCAATAGAAGCCATCTCAGTGTAATATTTTCTCGGTATGATAACACCTGTTATCAAATGGCCTCAGTGGTATGTTCACAAAACAACATCATGAAGTCCAAGGAACTCACCGAGAGGTTAGGAATGTGTTTTGGGAGAAGTTTAAAGCTTTTGATCATCTCATAGAGCACTGTCTATTCCCAACCTGGGTAAATTTATTTGCGGCCAGCACAAAAAATAAAAATAGATGAATAAACTATTATTTAATATATATCACGGCCTGCTTCATTTTAGAGCTATTTTAAAGTAAGGGCCAGCTATTTTTAAATCAGGAAAACAGCTGCATCATTTGTTTTGCCCAATGAATCCGAAATGTGCTTTATTCATCAAAAACACGATATTCAAACCATTTTATCACACAATGGCTCACTCTTACCTCACGCTCACACTTCAGGCGGGGCCATAGGTATTCTGATAAGGGGGCTCCAGACCGTTAAAGTGCAGGGGCCACTTCTGAGGACCTTCTATGACACTGTGGCGGTGTATTCTGTACATTGTGGTCTTATGGAGCAGAAACAAGATGGACAAGATCATCATGAGCTCCGTCCTAGGGGTCCTGGTAGAACACTTGGAGCCCGGGTTCCAATTGTAAAGCCCCTCCTGCATTGTGTTTGAGTTCTCCTTTTCTTCTTACTTCTCTGTAAATCCCTGATATTTTCCCACGGTGGGAAAAAAAAGTCTATTCTTACAGATGATATATACTATAAATATGTGTTTAGGTTTTTAATAGGGAAAAAATACTGACTTTTGTAAAATGTGCTGGTGGACTATGGGCGTACACCTCTTTGCTGCATATTACTTTTTTTTTTTTTTTTTTTTTTTAAAGCTTTATTTGATTTTGCAAGGTAACATACATTCAACAAACAAACAAACAAGAATATGTGTAGATACATATTTTAAGGGATACAGCAGATTGTGTGTGTGTGTGTTTGCTGCATATTACTAATGGAAACGAAACAAACCAAAAAACCACAAAGCTCCCTTTCAGAGATGTTTACGTGCTTTGTCACATATTTGTCACAGGTCGGTTCCAGTCAATGGAAATTCAAAATACACTTAATCCCACATCACAGAACTTGATCTAGATTCTTAGAATGATATTTTCATATTCCATTCCATCTTCTTCCACTTTATTCGTTGCTGGGTTGAGGGGTCACACACATGTAGACAGTTTTGGAAAACTGATGATGATCCTCAAGTATCCGATTGAGAGCTGGTCCAGTGTTCCGCGGCCAGGACAAAAAACACACTCGTTCTCCTGAATCTAACATTTGTTTACCCGTCGAAATGTCCCCTCTAGTACATTGAGCAGATCTTGAGTGTGATCCTGTGATTATTGGAACTCAACCCCCTTCTTGAAGAGAGGGACCTCCACCCCGGTCTGCCACTCCTTGGACGCGGTCCCCGATGTCAGGGTGGATCCTGGGGCCTTTCCACCGAGGAGCTTGGCATATTTTCATATATTATATAAACTCATCTAATCATTTTTTGAATTTTGAATTTTAATTTAATGTGGTGTATGGTCAGACAGACTTAAAACAGATTTTGTTTGTTTTGGTTCCTGGATACCTCTGCAAGATATATCCAGGCCTGCGGATCTGGGTTCAGGCTAGTTTGCTAGTTTGCAAATAATTATTCAGAATCGTCAATATTACCATACAATCTACCTCAGAGAGACACAAGAGACTCGACTCTTCATGTGTAACTATTCAAATTAAACCTTTTTGATTTTCAGATTAAAGCGCTAAGAGAACAGGCTCTGCAATACCGCCGCAGAGCTTGGGGAACACATTTCTCTAGAGATCATTTAAGCCAACTTCTGTCTGAACACAATGCATTGTGGGAGCCCACAGGAACTATTGAATCACTGAGTGAGAGGCCCGAGTCCATATGTCTGGACCTGTGTCAGATCAGCTCTGCAGGCCCCGTCAGTAGCAGAGACTCTTGTCTGGAGGTTCTGGACTTGGCCAGGTGTGACTTGTTGCACAATGAAAGCTGCTTGCAAGTGTAACACTGATATTTTTGTTGATGTTTCGCTTCAGCAACTCCAGTTGTAAGGACTCTGATGTTTGTACGAAAGGTGAAAAAAATAGCAAAATGTCCACAACTAATGCTGAAACCCCTCAAAGGACTCCTAATGTTGTGGCTGAAGATACATCGCCCTTACCACAAAATGATGAATCAGATGGAGAGTGAGTTTTATTTCATTTTATTGCATAAAATGTTCTTTTAATGGATTGATAGAATATTTAATGAGCATTTTCACACATGTGTACTTTTAAATGACCTCAATTGGGTTTAATGCATAGAGAGGGAGGAAGATTACAAACTCCAGAAATGAAGTTGTTGCCCATTCAGAGGACTCACCATGACCGCACAACACCTGCTGCAGGTAATCACACAGTACTTACAATGAAGTTTGTGTGATATAAATGATACTGTGCGATGAAATCCTTTATTACTAAATCTTTTCTGACTAGTAGGAGGTGCTATATTAGTGGGAAAGCCATTAGAAACTGATGAAGTCTGTCACAAGTCAAGCACAACAAACTCTGTGCACATTTTGAAACCCAGGGAAGCTTGGACAGACTCCAGGCAGCACAAACAAGCCCCAAAACCAATTGCATCCAGAATAACCCCTCCCCTGCCACCGCCTCTGTCCTCCACTGTTCCCTTTCACTGTATCCAGGGAACCTTACGAAATGCTGACTTCCAGCATAATGGTGAGATGCTTTTTTGTTCATTTTGTCATGATTTGGTTAGTTCTTTAATACACACTACTAGTACAGTATGGTTTATTTATATCTACAGTGCCTTGCGAAAGTATTCGCCCCCCTTGAACCTTTCAACATTTCGCCACATTTCAGGCTTCATACATAAAGATATAAAAATATTTTTTTTTGTCAAGAATCAACAGCAAGTGAGACACAATCGTGAAGTGGAACGACATTTATTGGATAATTTAAACTTTTTTAACAAATAAAAAACTGAAAAGTGGGGCATGCAATATTATTCGGCCCCCTTGCGCTAATACTTTGTAGCGCCACCTTTTGCTGCAATTACAGCTGCAAGTCGCTTGGGGTATGTCTCTATCAGTTTTGCACATTGAGAGACTGGAATTCTTTCCCATTCTTCCTTGCAAAACAGCTCGAGCTCAGTGAGGTTGGATGGAGAGCGTTTGTGAACAGCAGTCTTCAGCTCTTTCCACAGATTCTCGATTGGATTCATGGTCCTGTATTTGGCTCCATCCATCTTCCCATCAATTTTAGCCATCTTCCCTGTCCCTGCTGAAGAAAAGCAGGCCCAAACCATGATACTGCCACCACCATGTTTGACAGTGGGGATGGTGTGTTCAGGGTGATGAGCTGTGTTGCTTTTACGCCAAATATATCGTTTTGCATTGTGGCCAAAAAGTTCGATTTTGGTTTCATCTGACCAGAGCACCTTCTTCCACATGTTTGGTGGGTCTCCCAGGTGGCTTGTGGCTAACTTTAAACGAGACCTTTTATGGATATCTTTGAGAAATGGCTTTCTTCTTGCCACTCTTCCATAAAGGCCAGATATGTGCAGTGCACGACTGATTGTTGTCCTATGGACAGACTCTCCCACCTCAGCTGTAGTTATCTGCAGTTCATCCAGAGTGATCATGGGCCTCTTGGCTGCATCTCTGATCAGTCTTCTCTTTGTTTGAGATGAAAGTTTGGAGGGACGGCCGGGTCTTGGTAGATTTGCAGTGGTCTGATACTCCTTCCATTTTAATATAATTGCTTGCACAGTGCTCCTTGAGATGTTTAAAGCTTGGGAAATCTTTTTGTATCCAAATCCGGCTTTAAACTTCTCCACAACAGTATCTCGGACCTGCCTGGTGTGTTCCTTTGTCTTCATGGTTCTCTCTGCGCTTTAAACAGAACCCTGAGACTATCAAAGAGCAGGTGCATTTATACGGAGACTTGATTACACACAGGTGCATTCTATTTATCATCATCAGTCATTTAGGACAACATTGGATCATTCAAAGATCCTCACTGAACTTCTGGAGTGAGTTTGCTGCACTGAAAGTAAAGGGGCCGAATAATATTGCATGCCCCACTTTTCAGTTTTTTGTTTGTTAAAAAAGTTTAAATTATCCAATAAATTTCGTTCCACTTCACGATTGTGTCCCACTTGTTGTTGATTCATGACAAAAAATTTAAATTTTATATGTTTGAAATGTGGCAAAATGTTGAAAGGTTCAAGGGGGGGGGGGGGGGGGGGATACTTTCGCAAGGCACTGTATCTAAGGGTATGTTTGTGTCAACAGGGCCTTTAGGTCTAAGATTAAACACGAGAAAGTGTGGAACGGCTTGCTGTTCGGATGAAGGTTTGTAACCTCATTAAATGTGGATTAACGCTACACCCACTTATTTAATTAAAACATTTAAAAAATCTATTTCTTTAGATGACCATCTTTCAGTGATGTCGTCGCTGTCTGCAGCTTCATGCACAAGGGCATCTGCAGTTCTGAAGCGTGCCCAGAGGAGACGGGGAACTTTCTGGGGGGAAACATGAGATGTTTTGTGAAGCACATGTTTTGTGTAGCAATCTCAGAATAATGTTTATGATTGAAGTGATCACTTAGAATGAACAAACAGATCCAAATAATGTACAATGTAGAATTTTTGTGAATATTGTGTTAATTATGATAGTATAGGTCAACATTGTAAGGATTGTAAGCGTGCTGTATTAAATCGGTCTCCTGACCTCATTTTTGTTGCCGTGACAAACATCTGAAGATGTAGGTAACCTCAAACCAAAAATGTGGAATTATGAAGAAATGTCTGCAAAGGTTTCAACTGTATGTCAAACCATTATGTCAAACCAAATGATTGCAACCTTACTTTTCAGTTGGCTGCAAATGATTCAGATGAATGTTGTCACCATGACCCCAGATGTTGCACCTCATTCCTGTAATCAGTCTCGTCGTTGGTGATAAGTCAAAGTACTGCGATGTTGTCTGCAAAATTGACAATGATATTTCGGGGACAAGGCAGACCAGTGAAGAGAGCAGGGGGCTCAGCACACACCCCTGGGGACCCTGGTGTTAATGTAAGTAATAGTAAGTAAGTAATCTTTATTTATATACCGCCTTTTCACTGCAGATCTGAGTCTCAAAGCGGTTTACAATTGTTAATTTTTGGGCATTTGTCTCTCACCCCACACAGAGATGGGAGCGGGGTCGCCAGTACAGGAGGCGCATGCTAGAACTATTGTACATATTTTTAGTGGTAGGGGAAACCGGAGTACCCGGAGGAAACCTACGCAGACACGGGGAGAACATGCAAACTCCACTCAGAAAGGCCCTGGTCCGACTGGGATTTGAACCCAGGACCTTCTTGCTGAGAGGCGAGAGTGCTATCCACTCAGCCACCGTCCCACAATGGTAATGTGGGAGGGGGCTTTATTGTCCATTCAAACATGTGATTTGTTGGAAAGTCAATAAATTGCTGTGATTTATAATTAATACATTATCTTATCTTTCACATCTTAATAATGTGAAAAATAAAAACAACACACAAACACTAAGTAGGTCGTGCCTTTAATCTGCTCAAAATTATGTCATGGCATGAATGACGTCATTGGCGGCATGGTGGCAGAGTGGTTAGCACTCTTGCCTCTCACCAAGAAGGTCCTGATTTCAAACCCCCGTCAGAACTGGGTCTTTCTGAGTGGAGTTGGCATGTTCTCCCCATAAGTTTCTCTTGGTGCTCTGGTTTCCCCTACCACTAAAAACATTGGTAATAGGTAAAATCCTCCAGCGCTGGGTTTCCTAACCAAGATAGGCATGAATCTCTGCTCTATATGAATCCTCTTATAGAGCAGAGATCCAAAATGTAGTTCAGTGGAGTAAGGCTAACAACCTCCAGCTGAACGCAACAAAAACATGTGAACTGGTCTTCGACTTCAGTCGCAATAGTTCTCATTTGCCCGTCGCAATCGATAACTCCCAGGTGCAGATTGTAGAGGAGTGCAAGTTTCTGGGTTTAACTCTAACGACCTGAAATGGGTCAAAAACACTGACCGGGTCGTTAAGAAAGCTCATCAGCGTCTCTACTTTCTGCGTAAACTTAGAGAATTTACCACTAACTCTAAGATTCTGCTTAACTTTTATCGCGGCACCATTGAGAGTTTACTTGTTGGCTTTGGAAACATCACAGATAAAGAAAAGAGAGCGTTAAACAAGGTGCTCCGCTCTGCAAAGAGCAGACTGTGGGCTGTGAGCTTCCTGTTCTGGAGGTTCTTTATAAATCCAGACTTTTAAACAGAGCTCTTAGAATTATCAACGACTCTTCTGGCCACCCTGGAAAAGCCTTGTCTTCTTCCCTCTGGCAGAAGATATCGTTCTCTGAGATGCAGGACATCTCGTTATGCTAACAGCTTTTTTCCACAAGCTGTTATCAGTTTGAACAGAGCACTTTAACGGTCTTGCACTCGTATAGAAACTGTTTTAGTCGGTCAATTTCATAGTGACATTGTTTACTTTTTTTAATTTGTTTATTTCTGTACTTTTAATGTTGTTTTATGTCTGTACTTGTCTTGTGCAAACTGGGAACTTTTGCTAATGTATTCCAATGTGGTTTTACTGCAAATGGCAAACAAATGAATCTGAATCTGAGGCATAGGTACTGTGGCACCAACTGCTCCTGACAGAGGCCTTAGTGGCAGTGCAGGAGGGGTCAAATGTAGAGGACAAAGTTACAAACGGTGATAAATAAAGTGTGCATTCACATTTACATCATGGCTAATGGACATTTTGGGTGCACCTGTGTTTTTTTTAAAGGGAATCAGACTCAAACGTAGTGCCCTTTTATTGGCTAATTACTTTGGTTTTTCCCGTAATCCCGAGACCCCAATAGAAGCTTAGGGTCTGGGCTAAGGATTGTGGATATCCACTACTTTAGTTTAGCTATTTCTAAGCGACAGTATGCAAGTGCATAATGGGACAACAGACATGTGTTTAGCTGCATCACAAAGAAGAAAAATAATAAGGATGTTTTGAACCAGTAACTCAACACATTAGAGAGGAAGTTGGAGCTTTGTTGCAGATGAGCACACTTCCAAACTTTCATAAAAATGGCACAAGGACAACAGAGGCAGGTGTAGGCATGGCCATAACAGCCTTGACTGATCTGATCAATTTGTTGAGGGCAGAGCTGGAAAAGCGGGTGCAGGCACGAAGGCCCACAAACCTTAAACAGTTACATCCGTTCTGTCAGGAGGAGTGGGTCAAACTTCCACAAAGTCATACAAATTTGACAGTTTAAATGCGATTCTAAGGGTCACCAGCCTGAAGTTGCTGAGGTCTTTGATCCTCAGCTTGAGGCTCATGTTGAAGCTCCGAAATTCAACAGAGTTTGTGCAGGAGCCAATGCCTTCTGGTCCAACTGCCTCCATGGTTTTCATCCTCTTCTCTGTCCTTACCTTGTTGCCGTAGCAATGACAAACTACACATATTATGTTAATAGCGAATCAGCCAAATCTCTAATCACCAAAACTTTTTACAATATGTACAAATATAATGAGAGAATGAACGGATGGTGATGGTCAAGAAATTGTCAAGTGCTTTGTGTGACCTTGGTCTATGAAATGTGCTATACGAATAAAGATGACTTACTTACTACTTTCACTTTTGATGGAGTTTGTTTTTGATATTTTATCAATTGACTGACAAAATCTGCAAATGATTAAAGAAACAGATTACTTCAATATTATATTATTCCACATTAAAGCTGAAAAATCCATGATGAATGTCTAATCATATCATGCATTAATTTGATACTCTTTTCTAACAGCAGGCGGTGGCTCAATTATGTGTTAATGTTAAGAAAGTAATGCGCTTGCAGAATACTGTTGTTTCCCAATTGTGACATCACACCACAATGAACAAATACCAGTCAGCAAACAGACCGTATGAACAAAGCTGGCCCTCCTCATTGTAAATTCCCCATTATATGACATAAACCTCGCACTGTAAACCTACTATGTCATGTGAATGCCCAAAACACGAAGAGATTGAAAAAAGGTATCCAGAGAACACTTACTTTATTATGGAACACATTCATATTTTATTCTGATTTCTGTCTTTCTTATAAGTTATAATCTTACATACTGTAAGCATCATGTAAACACAATGGATGCACCATGGCACAAAAACATTCTTCAAACATAGAAACATACAAAACATTACATAATGTTATTATTTGAAGTCCCTGAAATATATAATCATACAATATACGTGCAGGTGAATTTTACTCTTTTCCGATTAAAACAATGGAATGCAAATGTGTGTTTGTGTTTAATTCATATATTCAATATAATACGTATATTTCATATATATATTTAATTTACACATATTAGTGTAAATTTAATACATCATAAATAAAGTAGATAAAGTGACATTCAGTAGACATTCTGGAATTGCAGTATTGTAGTATTTACTATTTAGAGATGAGACGACATGCATACACAGGCTCAGCATTGTACTCATTGTACAGTCTGACAGCAGCAGACTGCACAATGATTACAGTGATCAATTTGCAAATAAGCATGATCGTTTTGCATTAAAACTAGCCATTTTTATTTTAGCAATCCTCTATCTTTTATCAAGTTTCACTGCAAATCACATTTCTGAAATACTATGGGGGTCTAAATATGTTGTAAGCTAATTGTTATAATGAATAACATATTAGACTATGTAATCTCTCTTACATACATTCACATGGAAGCTACCTCTACACGAGGAAGCCTGGAGCTGATTGTGCAGATAGAGAAGCTCTCACACACCTCGGTCTCAAAGGGCCTGATAATCTGCACCAGTGGCACCTGAACACAATATGACACTGCCACCTGATCTTTTTCACTTTGATGGAAAATGAAGGAGAGCTTCCCGAAAAAAGTACAAAACTTTTGGATGCTGCATATTAAATATCTATGGTTGTGGGTGGCTCTAAACTTGTATTGATCCTTACACTTAGCTCACAACATCCCCCTGGGCCATATCACCTAGAGGCAGCTCAAATTGTCATTCATTACACAAAGGGCTTTGTGTTACATAATGTAGAAGACATCAAAATCCTAAATATACAATACACACTTTATACAAGATAATCATTTAAACACATTTGTTACAGATGTGTAATTTCAAGACACTGTTGCAATACATGTATGTGCATATATTGAGGGTATACGGGTATAATTATATATATTATGTGTAAAAAGTTATTAGTGCCCCTTACTGATTCATCATGTGAATGTCCTGTAGAAATAAAACAGGAAAATGTCATGTGCTACTTCTCACCTAGATTGATAAATATACCTCATAGGTTACATTTTTCATTTAGTTCAAATCTGTCATAAAATGTAATAAATGGAGAGGAGTGGGTGGTGTCATTGTCGTCACCCTCCTCATACATGAATGTGTAAACCTGCTCCACTTTCCTCTTTCATCTAAAGGAAGTAAATATTACGCACACTTCTCGTTTGGGATTCCCATAGGAGCCGCTAAATACACACACACATACGCACACACACACACACACACACACACACACACACACACACACACACAACATTAAAAGAGTGGACGGCATGTGCGTAACAATTAATTTCCTTTATGACAGTAAACAGAGATGCAGACACACCACAGACCTGTGTGTGTGTGTGTGTGTGTGTTCGTGAGTGTGTGTGTGTGTGTGTGTGTTTGAGTGAGTATGAATGAAAGACGAAGGGGTTTTTCAGTTACCTGGCCTATTTTCATCGAGGGGGTGGAGGACTGGTGACTATAAGACCAGGGAACTGACTGCTCACTAGCATCCAACATCCAGGTGAGCTTGCAGCAGAGGCATAGGTGAAGACTTATATGCTTGATTGTGTTTCTCATTTTAATGCTTTATCTTTTAGGAGATTACATTCCCATCCACACGGCATCACCCAGACCTCACCATGCAGTGCCTCTCACCAGCGCTAAAGTCTTTCCTCCGATCTGCAGTCTCTGTTCTTTTGCCACTACTTCTAGTCGGCTGGGTTGAATATGCAGCAACAGTTCCAGTGGACCAATCCCTGAGCCAGCCACTGAGGAATCCTGAGACCTACATCGCAATCAACAATCTGTCACATCATGTAAGTGTCCTTATTCTGCATGAATGTTTCAACATTTGTGATGTTCCAATGGATGATCAGCACCACCTGCATGTGAGAGATCCCATCAGACCTCTGAAGCTAAGCAGGAGATGGGAGACCTCACCAGTGCGGCTGTTAGGTGCCAAGCTGTTGTTGTGTCCTTTGGCACTTAGGCAAGTCAGATTGGTGGAGGGGCAGATGCCACAGACTGGTTGCCTGGCTTCTGTCAGTTGGCCCAGGGCAGCTGTGGCTACTGTAGTCTCACCAAGATGTCTGGAGTGAATGAATAATGCCAAATGAAGTTATCTTGTTTGTCCAAAAAAGTGTTGTGTAAAACCAATCCATCATAATTAGCATTATTGTCATTATTATTATAAATAATGATAATAATGATGTATAATATCAGATTATTTTACTAGTCTTTCTAAAATATACTTTTATTTGACAGGCTGAAGACAGCACGATTAATGACACCAGTTCAAGACTGATTCCCAAAGTGGATACTATAAAGGACTCTCAGGTATTTATTCATTATATTAGAGAAAATAAAAAGACCTGATTTCAGTTAAATAAATAAATAAATAAAAATGATTTTGTTGCAGGATGATCTGAAGATCTGCTGCCTGCATGCAAACATTCTGGACTTCTACCTCCGAAACATCCTCCCGCACCATGATAACAAGCATCCAAACATGCACCGGGTGAGAAGTGACCTGCGGCGAGTCAGCGAAGACCTCAAGGCACACGGCTGCGTAAGTATCTCCTTGGCCAGAAACAGATTTCCTCCTGTGGTTTGGCTGTGCTTGATTTGAAGCAGATAACTTACAGTTGTGGCCAGTAAGTACACAAAAAACAAAACTAAATAAGTGTTTTTGTCTGCAGAATGTGACTCACTATCATCACCACCAACATGCTGTGCAGTTTCGGAAGAAGCTTACTGAGGTGTGTATTCTGGTCGTGTTTGCCTTTTATACACTGCCAAATGTAATGTTATTCAAACACTTTTAGTAAAAAATAGGCTAGCATGCATTCTCACATACAGCTGGAGGTTACAGTTTGAGACCATACAATGACATCATTACTGGCATAGGTTGAAATAGTGGCAGCTGCTGATGTCTGTGTGTTCCAGATGGGAGAGGAGCGAGGCATCAACAAGGCGGTCGGAGAGATCAACATCCTCTTCTCATATCTGCAGGACTTCTGTGTTCAGTCCAGAAAACAAGTCGCTTCACAATAACTTCCTCAGATCGGACCCAACATCTTATTTAATTATTTATTATATTTATCTAAGTTAAAATTGTGTTATTTATCTGTGAAATGTTTATTTATTTAACAAATCTATTTATTCATAAGTAGTAATGCTCGAGCTTTCGGGTGTTGAAAAATGTAGCCATGTTATGGCTTATGAAACAGTATTCAAAATGTAATATTATAAAGTGTACCCATGACACTGTTGCTACCAAATAAAGATTTTATATATTATACTCTCACTTGTGATTCTGCATTCTCTAAATATTGTATTTTAAAGTGTTATACAGTAAGAAAACATGCTGTATTACAATTTGTAGCCGAGCTTTGCATTTGCCATATACTGGCTTAGTCGCAAACAGGCCCATTTCAAATATCACTGTGCTATAGGCCCGGTCTCCATTCTACAAATGATTTAACATTGAGCAGCAACAAGAGGTGATATTTAAAACTAGAGCTTCTAGAGAAGAAAACGACCACAAGATGGAACCTGTTGACCTGCTTTCACTGAGTAGGCCCTTTTCCTACACACTGAGTGTGTGGGCCAAATTATATCATCTTATTAATATTGTATCTCAATATTTTAAAAGTATAACTGGTGTTTGTACCCTGATCAAGGCCTGTAGGCTGAAATGTGCTCAGTCGTTCTACCGAGACAGGCCATAACCAGTGTGAAGCATTCTCTTTTTTATATTTTTATGATTGATGGTTGCTGAACTCTAAGTGCTCCTGAATACAAACTGCATCAAATAAAAATGAGACGACAGTTTTAACTGTTCACAACATGATGTTTTATGCACTGTTGGGGCGACAGTGGCTCATTTGGTAGACCATTGGCCTTTGAGCCTGAAGATCGTAGGTTCGAGCCCTCCATGAGACCTTCTCCTCCGACTCCCATTGGTGTCTGCTGTCGTTGTGTCGTTGGGCAAGACACTTTACCTCACTTTGCCTCAAACCCATGCTGAAAGATCAAAGCTGTGATGTCACACCCACATATCTCTTTTTGGTACTGGGCTGGCAGACTTGGCTGATGATTGCTCTGATTTTATTCATCACCATGGTTTTAATTTTTCTGTGTTTATGAAAGACATAAATAAATAAATAAAGTAGTTTGAACCTGTTCGCTTTTGTCATCTGTCACACAAATATGCAACATTCAGAGGCAACATCTTGGCATGACCCATAAGAGTTAATATTTAAAGAGTACATTTTTAATGGTTGAAATGGTTTCATAGGAGGGTGGTACATTTGGACAATGTACTGTGTGGCCAGTTCATTTAAAGACAAACAATAAGATCTTAATATCAGGGAGCCAGTGCAAATGTGAGGTTCATGTTGTCTCCCCCTGGTGGTTGGCTCTAAAGCGTCAGGGTGTGTCTCGCTCCGCGCGGTGCTCGTGGTCACACACTAATCTTATTCTAAGATCATAAAAAATATTCATTAGAATCTAGGGCTGCAGCAGGTTTGACTGGAGAACTCCAACCTGGACATTCCCGCTGTGCTTAACATTGTGTCGTCACGTCAGGGATTTCCCAGCGGACGTAATCCACCAGGAAGCAAAACTCCTTTTCCCCATTGATCTATTATAAAGTGTTTCTGCCTTTCTCTCTAAAGGCGGCTGAGTGTCGGGGACTGAAGGGTTCATTCAGAGACAAACAGTGATGGTAATAACCCCGAACCCTACAAATAATAACTTCCAAAAACGTTTTTCTTTGTCTTTTTTTTTAACTTTTACTCAGTAAGTAAAAGTGGAGCTATGGTAACTAGCACTTGATATTATCTGGTGAAAAATGAATTAAAGATATTTCGATGAGAACTACTCACGTTTCAAAAATAAAAGATGATTTTATAAAAAATAATGACATAGACATAAATTACATACAGAAAAAAGTCATTGAGTTATGAAGAACAAAAATGTAAATACGCAGAGTCATTACACTTCTAAAAGTAAAAGCCGTCAAATGGACTGCTCTGGGAGTTCTAGGGTTAAACACAAGGGCTGGGGGCGGTTCTGTCAGCCAGGAGCCCCCAAACAAGTGTGAAATCCCTTCCAGACTTGTGAACCTCTCGACCGAATCTAATAATTATCATTAGAAGCTGCCTGTAAAACTGTTCCTCAGGCAAGACACTTCACCCACATTACCTAGAATGTGTGCGTGAATGGTTGATGGTGATCAAAGGGACCAATGGCAAACTTTCTTCTGTCAGTGTGCCCCAGGGCAGCTGTGGCTACAGTAGTAGTTTATCACCTCTCTGTATGGAGTGAAAGAATATCAACATGTGAAGCGTCTTTGAGTGTCTAGCGATATACTTGATGCATTATTGTGTTATTATTTGTTTTATTATTATTTTTCAGAAGTGTCCAAACATGATGAACAAACATAATATTATGCATTGAAACATGAATGTTTTTCATTCATTTCAGCTAACCCATTTAGAAGTCCTCTTTCTCTGTTGAAGTTTCAGTGCACATCACATTTCTCAAAAACTCTGACGCCAATGTATTATAGGTTAATTATAATAATGGTAGATTTGTTCATTTATCTGTACTTTTTTATTCTGTTACATCATACATTCACATGGTACCTACCTCCGAGTTAAATAATTGTGAAACATGCAGTGATTTTGTTTCTTTGAATATTATCTTGAAATCCACCCGCTCATAGTGGTATACAGTACGTTAGGGGAAAAAAACATAAAATTTTTCTTGGACCAAGAATTTAGTAATTCAAGACACAAGATCCTCTCTCTTAGTTTACATCTATCAATTTCACACTGTTTGTTTGGCCTTATATCACATTTTTAGAAAAGTAAAAATAGAGGACCACCCTCACTCATCAGCTCTCAGCCTATTGTGTCAAATAGTGACTCCAAGGGTTCTTTCTTTTAAGTGCAAAACATATGAGAACATAAACATGAGCTCAAAGATTGGATTTTGGTCGACCTCAGCAATTGTTAGCTTTATTGTATTTGTATTATGTTTGAGTCCTCTTTGGGATGCCTTGTGTATGAATTGTACTTCACAAATAATTGTGCCTTGCCTTCATCAGGGTACTTAAGAGTATTTGGTTCTTCTTCACCAGACAACAGGAGGTTAGCGATTTTATTACCTTGACATGTTTCGATAGATACTTCCGTCTTCTTCAGAAGCGTCTCACGACATCACAGGTGACACGCCATACCAGCTGCTGTTCCCAGGCGCAGTCAACCCTACTTTTTATACTTTTAATTCTACTAAGAAGACAAAATGAAACTTTCTAAACTATGTAACTGTATTTGTACTGTGCATCTATATACTGGAATCTAAAATACATCTAAAATCTGGAATAATCTCCTTGAAGATGTGAGACAGGCCTCCTCTCTGACAATGTTTAAAACCAGGTTAAAAACGGTTCTGTTTAACTGTGCATACAACTGAGAGATTTTATATTTTTATCTTGATTATTTATGATTTTAATGCTATCTTGTTTTGTTCAGCACTTTGAGTTGCCTTGTGTATGAATTGTGCTATACAAATAAACTTGCCTTGCTTTGCCTTGCCTTACTGTGTATTAAGAGCCCAGTGACCTCAGGGTGGAGAGGCTGCGCAGAGGTGAGCCGAATCTACAAAAGAGGCTGACTCAGACGATAGAAAGCGGTTGATTTCAGAGGTGGTTGTAGTGAGTTTGTGTTTTAGTAGATTAGGGTCAGCTGTGGTCACATACCGGTAAACATAATATTTAAAAGAAAAAATAGCCGTGGCCATAATGACATAGCCTGGAGACTATGGCCCGGTTTGATTTTTCAATAGCACTCTCGCCTCTCAGCAAGAAGGTCCTGGGTTCGGATCCAGGTCGAGCCAGGGCCTTTCTGGTTTGCATGTTATCCCCGTGTCTGCGTAGGTTTCCTCCGGGTACTCCGGTTTCTCCTACCACTAAAAACATGAACAATAGATCTGCCATTTGCCTCCTGTACTGGCGCCCCTGCTCCTATCTCTGTGTGGCGTGAGAGACAAATGCCCAAAAATAACAATTGTAAATCGCTTTGAGACTCTGATCTGCAGTGAAAAGGCGGTATATAAATAAAGCTTACTACAACTACAAACTCATCTGAACTCCATGGAATTTAAATACTTCCACTATTTGCGTTTCATATGAATTGAAGATTTAAATGAATGACTAAGATAAAAATGGTTCAGATGATCCACCACTCGGAATATCTGATGTGGATGTGATCATGACTTGAACCGATGACTACTTTTTAAACGTTCACTGCTATCTTCTTCACAGCATATTCAAGACAAAATTTGTAAATGTAAATAAATTGTGCATTTACATTTATTAATTCAATGGAAGGGCAGACAGATGGTTTGAGGGCCAACAAGTTTATTTGTCACAACACTCAACCTTTATAACTCTTGCTGAATGACTGAACATCATGAATATTCACTGCAGCCAAACAGTTCTGTGCACTTCTCTGACCTGATTTCAGCTTTTAACTTCCACAAAGAATGCATGATTTTAGGTGGCACTAAGGTATTCTGCTGACAGTACAATCTTAATTTAGGTCAGACCAAACTCTAGCTACCGTATCGCTATTTCCTCCACACCATTGCCCCAACCACAACCTAGTTTAATCTCACCACACATCTACCGACAGCTTACCAAAAATGACATCACCTTTAGCCAATATGATTTGGCAAAACTTTGAAGGGGACCGTGAGAAAAGCAGGAAGAGAATTTGTCGGGTAATGGTCCCCTCCAAGGAGTTATCGATACAGTCAAAAGGTCGCACAATTAAAGTGACATACAAACTCATCCAGAGAAATCTCCCTCCACCACAGATAGGGACCGGCTGAGGTGCTTTTGCTGACTTCTATAGCTCTATTTGGAGGCTTCTTATCACGGCTCCCAATCGCAACGCTTGACAATTTGGCTCGGCCTGGCTCTGCAAAGTTATCATGCATCTTCTCTTCTCTTGCCAACAGAAACGAGTTGGGGACTCTGAAAAAGGTTTTTAGCTTACATGAGGAGGATTCAGCAAACTTAAATGGTCAAGGTCTTATTTAAAATGGGATCCCTTTAAAGTATATTGGACGATTGAGTTACACACTTCACACAGAACATGAATAAAAGTATGAACGTTATGAAATATTTTTGTAATTATTTGATACACCTAGCAAAATATTTCATCTTTAGGGAGACTATGTACACCTGTTCGTGGATTGCAGATGAAAAATAGCCTACTCGACTAATTCTGGTGCATTTACAGAACAGTTTATTAAAGCACAATGTCCCTGCCAAATAAACTAATACAAAAATATTTTACAAAATATATAAGTTGTATATCAACCTACATGTTGCTTTGATTTAGAGGCACCCTTGCATTTTCTCAGAAGACCAGGAGTGGCATAAATGGGAAATAATACCTCAATGCAATTGTGTGTATAATTCATTCCCTCAATTTAACCCTTAATGGTTTCCATCAAACAATTGGTAGATCACCTTTTGAGTCACTGTATCTACTTGAAGCATGTTTAGAATTGAAATCTACCTATACCTCTACCTTTCGATCACTTGGTTTGAGGCACTTTTATCATCAAACTCCATCTCAAATATTTGGTAAAGCCTATAATTAAAAAACTGGGGTTCATAAAGATGGTGTTATTAGTGCTCTGACATCCTAAAAAAAGAAAAAAAAGAAAATGTTCACTCTTCAAGAAGTGAACATTAAAGGGTTAAACAACGCTATGAGATGTATTTGTGCATGATTGTTTCCGTCAACATTTTCAATATAAAGTTGATAATCCAATCAGACATCACAAGGAGACAATTCTTGTGTGTGTTGCCAATTTCAATGTTGTTTAGTTTGGTTTCTACTCGAACCCTTGCACCCTCAGCAAATATTAGATTAATCAGTGATCAGTGCGGGCAGCTACTTTATCATTTTGAAATACATAAAACTTCAGAATCTTAGAACGTCAACCAAACTAGAGAAGCTTGGTTGTCATGGCTTTGTAACAACATGAGAACAATATGAGAAAACCTTGTCAGACACAACACAAACCATGTGGGAGGAGGAGAGCACTGGCAAAGCAGGTATAAAGAGGCACTCCTTTACACCGTTACACTCAGACATGGCCAGGACCATCATCCTTCTCCTCAGCCTCGTCAGCGGACACGTAACCATGGTGACAGCCCTGGAGAAAAGCTGCCACAGGATGATACACCTCGAGCTGATCCGGGAACTGGGGAACCGGACAAAACAGCTGCTGCAGATATTACCGGTGAGATTGCAAGCAGCACAAGGACTTGCATAATTACACATTTCTTACATTTGCAAATTATGGTGATTACGCTTATAAAGTCATTTCTTTCAACAAAATCACATTTTTTTTTACACAGATGGAAGAGAGGTCTCACAAACGAGCAAGACTCCTTCCCAAGTTCTGCACCAAATGTCGCGAGGTCGGTACAAGCTGTGTGTGTGGGTGTGCATCATGTCTCTATCTGCATTATTTTGATAACGATTTTAGATTATGTTATTAAATTAAGCAGCCGAAAATGACGCTCAAAAAATGAATATGCGCATAGTTGTTGTTGTATGTATGTTTTGGAAAAGTCTGACATTGTTTGTAGAGATATTAGTTCTTATTTTCTTGGACGTAAAACAAAATAAAAGTTTACTAGTACTTTAAGGATCCCACAGGTGGATGTATATTGTCTGCTGATGGAAACATTTATTGAAGAGTATAGTATGTGATTTAACTGCGAGTAAATGTTTGAGCTGTGGATTTCCGTTGGGGATTCCAGTTAAAATTCCTCTGCATTGTCACTGACAGCGCTGGGGTTTTAGCAGGAAGATATTCTTTAAAATACCAAAACACACCAGAATTACTATTTGGCAGTCTGTATATCTTCTAATAATAGTAATGTAATAATAGTAAATGTGCAGTCCCTGGGCAAGGTGTAAAAAACCAATTACGCTGCAAACCTTACAATATAAAAATAATTAGTAGAAACGTTGCAATTTAAAAACAGGTAATTCAAAGATATAAAAATAGAACACAATAGCATACTTCTACCGATATCCTAATAATAAAAATAAAAATAATAGATTATGGAATATCCATCAAGGATATAATTTGTTAAAATGTAAAGTCACAAACAAGTTTTCAAAAGTTATGGATTTTTCACTCACTCCACAGACTATTGTAATGTGTGGTAAGCTGCTGCAGGCATATCTGCCCTCTAGGGTTGCAGCACAGACGTGGACGTCCCGGACCACCAATCATTCTCCCTCACCAGATTCTTACTATAGACTATGTGGATGATGGGCAAACACAGCTGTTTTAGAAAACCAAATGTGACAAAAAGGTCACAGTTTGTACTAGTATTGGACTATGATGAACTTCCTCTTTTTACAGTGGTGCATTGCAGGAATTGAAATAACTCACCTCCAGTGATGCGGAGAATCTTGAATCATCAATTGTTTACCATGTATTTTGTAATCTTTATTCTGTTACAAGGTCCAATCAAATGTATATATAACTGCTATATTCTTTGGTCCAATTATAGTATAACAGTAGAAAAATGGGGCTATGGATTTAAACAACTTTTTGCACCAAATTATGCAAGTTTTGGTATTGTTGTGAGAAAATCCAACTCACATATGCCAATAATCGTCTTTTTCCTATCACAAGATGAAATACCAACATTGCTTACATTTTTGAAAAGTATAGTATTCAGGAATACAAGCAAATAAAATGTTTTGTATTCTGAATACAGTTACTCAAAAGTACATGTATCCCTTTACTCTACAGCACTGTCACATTAAGTTAATAGTAATAATTTGATTTCCACAGGGTGCCATTAGTTGGCTGGAGATTCGGGAAATGATTGATATTTACCAATGGTCCGTGTTCAGTCAAGCCGAAATAAAAAAACTGTTGCCTCTTCACTTCCCTGACCTTCTGTATAGACTCCAATACACTTTGCACAACTGCGTGAGTATCACTGATAAGACCTAATTTGTTTTCAAAGTGGCGCACAAACACTAACAAATATAACATATATAATTCGACAAAGATCAATGTATGTTAATGATTAACCTCAATGTTTTTTTATTTCAGGTTCCCACTAGCAAACCGTCAAAATGGTCAAAAGTAATCAAGAAACTACAAAGAAAAATAAAAAAGGTATATTGGCTTTATTGTTTTCTCTTTTAAATGGGCTACTAATTAAGAATATATTAGTAGTTTGGTAACTACTCTAATCATCTATTTTTTAAAATCCTGATGTAAAAATAATTTCGAAATTCTTAGCAGCATCTTCCACAGTATTCACAATATTTTGCAATGTGTTAAACTTTTGCTTAACTTTTTATCTTCTAGAGAAAACGTGATGGCGCTCTGAAGGCAGTGAGAGAGTTCACATTCCTCCTGAGGTGGACCGGAGAGCTTCTGCACCAGCGGGTCCTGTAGATCCTCCAGTCCTTCTATATTTGGCAGTATTTGTCCTGATACTGAGATTCGGATTAGATTATTTTGAGAGTAATTTATTATTCAGTATATTTATTTTTGTATTTTTAATATATGTACAGTTTATATTAATTTAAAGCAAACCTAAGCACATACGTGTGCGTGCGTATGTGTGTGTGTATTTATCTGAGTTAATATGCTAATTATTTATGAGGAAAATAAAAACATTTTTATCATGAGTCTGTCTTTTGTGTTTATGTTCGCGACAAAAAAACTGTGATGTCGCCCTCTGTTGGTTGAATTTAGTCACTGCAGGCGGCATGCTATTTAGACCAGTGGGGTCCATTATTCTGTACGTATATTCTGTATGCATGTTAGCAGCATGTATCAAAGCATAAAGATATAAAAGTTTCATATTTTTCCAATTCAATTCAAATACATTTATTCTTGTATAGCCCTAAATCACAACAGCAGTCATCTCATAGGAAATCGTCAACACAGATCATGGAATCAACAGTTGAAACACACAAAATATAGAACACATATGTATTTGTCCATAGGGAATTTTTCCCTATGGACATTCATTCATGAATGTTGATAAATGTCCATACATGCTGTAGAATGTAGAGTGTCCTGGATCATTTTTAACTTTATTATGTAGTATAAGTCTGATCTGAAACTAAAGTACACATTACACGCTTGTGTTAGATACATGGTGTTGGGAATTGATGAGAGGACTTATATATTATTATATATATATATATTTTTAAGTTCAGCATCCCTGTGGGTGGCGGCAAGAGCGGTCTATCATAAACGAAGGAGTGAGTGAAGTGCACTGAGTGTCTGAAATACTCTGTGGTGTCCGTCGCGGGGAAGAAGGGAGTTCTAGGGACTTCACAGCAGCGTGCTTTCCGAAATTCTCTCTCTTACTTCCTACGCACGACAGTCTATGGCTGTGTTTTTTTAACCTGTGTGACTCTCGTGGCAAGTTTGAGTGCCTTGAGACTTTGCTTGGTGTGTCCTTGGAAATGTTCATCTATCATTATCATCTAATTGGTCCAAATAATGTAATGAGAAAACAATGTGATTAGATTAGAACAAATTATTGCGATTGTTTGATTATTTATTACATACACTTTGATAAGAATTACTTTGCTTTCTTATTAAAGGGTGCAGAGTTTAACTTTTACGTCGATTTTAGCTGGTGGTGTGACGTTAGATATGTTTCAATGAAAAAGGTTTGCCAAAAATGTAGTCTTCAAATGAAGTTGCGATGCCATATCTGAGTGAACAAGGACATCACCATCACACAACTTTATATCTACGTTGATTAAAATTAGCTATATACACAATTAAAATATGTGGCAAGATGGATTTTGCCATATTTGTGTCCAGTAGAGGGCGCACAGGGCAGTGTTCCCCGACCTTTTTGAGCCGTGGCACACCTTTTTCCATAGAAAACAACCACATGGCACACCACCAGCTGCGATTGATGCAAACAGGAAACTCTGCAGTTTTTTTTAACAATGCAAAGTTATTCTCATCAAAGTGTATTTGTTTGTATAGAAAATGAAACCACCACAAACAATTCATTATTTTATTTTCACATTGTTTTAACCAACTTGACGATGATGATGGTGATATTGGATCAAGGCACACCAAACAACATCTCAGGGCACACACTTGTTGAAACACTTGCTTGAAGTATATATCATTTTAAAAGTATAAATTTTCACTCTCTGCCACCTGAGTTCACGCCTGTGCACTTCCCTTTCTAATATTGATATTTTCTAATGTTAATCTTTATTTGTATTTCCCTAGAATCCTAGATTAGTCTTTCGCTGCTGGACACCTCTATCTATCTATCTATCTATGTTGTCTTGTCGTTTGGCATCTGGCTGCCCTCATGTGCTGGGGTCCGAGTGTGACATACAGCTGACTGTGGGTTAGGGCCTCTAATCGGTCAATAAATGCATTTTTCATTCACTCCACACACATTTGGTAAAAACCGCACATCATTGTCCTTGTGATATAAATATGATTTTCTTCTGAGTGAAATGTGTGAGACTTTTGCAGTAAAGGTTTCTGAGTCTCTTGTGTGTGAGTGAGCTATAGCCTTCAGAGCACTTACTATACTCTCCTCTCTTCTATACTCTCCTCTTTATTACAAGATAAGGACATTTGGATTTCCTCATTTTGTAATAATGAGTTTTGATTTTTTCCCCTCAAACATCCCACCAGGTTAAGCCACTCATTCATCCAGCAGCTGCAGTTCAGTGTTTGAAAATCTAACCTGTTTCTGTTGTTCTAAATGTTACAGTTTTTCTCAGTCCCTTTGGTGCATTTCTTCACACTTGCACAACAGTTAGTGCATTTCAGTGCAAACTGCAAAACCTTGTGGATAACCTGCAAAAGTGAATCACTTTCTCAAAATGAAAAGTTAATTCCTCAAAAGCAAGTCTTCATGTCAATGAAACTGTCTGTGTTGTCAAAATAATAAGTCCAATAATAAGTCCAGACACCATTGCTTATGAACAACACAGTCAAATTAAATAGTCAGTTTCATTGTGAAAGTTTACTCTCTGTGCTTTCAATGTAAAATGTCAGGTCTTGGTGACACTTGGTGAGCACTAAACACGAGCACAAAACTGAGTACAAGACATATGTACTGTATGTAAGTATGTATATGTGTATCTATGTATGTATGTATGTATTTCACATTTTTAATGCATATGTTTTTTGCAATTCTACAGAATTGTGCAAAAAATACAGTCACATACATGTCTTTACGTAGAACAGACATACAGAATATCATTATGGTAGAACTTTGACAAATGTAAACAACAAAACACACACTTCCTCATGAGTGAGAGCTGAAATTCACCTGAGAGAAATTGTTCAATTTAGGAAAGATTTACAGGAAAAAAGTTAAAGAAATGTATGAAATTAGCTTGACAAATATGATTTTGAGAACTGGTTCAATAATTTTGTATGTGATGACCAAAGCGTTGAAATTAGGACTATTGATTTTATAGGGAAAGACTATTCAGAAGTTATAAGTATGTTTAATTTTGACTGATAATAATAATAATGATAATGTTATAAAACAGCAGAGAATTGTATGAAAGTAACTCATACATGAACAAAAGTATTCGTAATGTGTTCATAGGAAGGAGGAACTTCTACGATGATGTGCACCAATGACTTTAAGTCTGATCTGATAAATGCACAAAAGCGACTGAGAAAAACTGTATACAGCAGCATCCTCATCCTCCTTTCCTAGACACTAAACTCAAGAAAATGTAGTGTTTGGACATTCCTGCTTTGCATTAGTCGAGTTGTATGTTGATGAAAATGGCATCCTTCCACAAACATAGGGGTTGAATAAAACCTCACTTGGAAAGATTACGACTAAACTCAGGTAGGTTGAGTTAAGTTATTACTTAGTTATATACTTAGATAGACCATTGATGATTGTGGGGTATATGAAAAAGTAAGCAGGTTTGGTAATCTGGTTGTAAAATAAAACCCACAGATTCAAAAATGGATCATGGGTGTGTGACTGTCCACACTGACCACTCCACAGACTCATTTGGAGCAGTCGGCAGTGAGTCAGGCTCAGAACATCAGAGATCCAATTCATGTCTCAATAAAACTATTGCAGTCTGGGGGAGGTACAGGACTCCCCTGTGTAACACTTTAAAAACTCATGTGCCTCAGTCCATAAAACAACCTGTAACTGACCATGTTTATGTACCATGTCTTCTGTGTGTCTGTGTATACATATATACTGTATATGTGGTGCTTCTGATTAATTGGGACTGCTTGCATTATCCAAAAATGATATGAAGATGTTTATTCATTTCAAGGATATTGAATACATGATGTATTACATGATATTTCAAATTATGTCTAGTCACTTATTCAATGTTTGTGTGTGTCATTCGGAAGTCAAAACAAGATAATTTGCTCAGGTGTGGATAGTTGCCAAAGGGAAATAGCGACTGAAGAAGAGCAGCCTGTGAACCCAGAGCCACAGGAGGATGTGGTGTGTCTGCATGATACCAGTTTGTGTGGGTGAGAGACTTTTCTAAGAATTAAGAAACAGTTTTAATGAGGAACAAGCCCCCTGTTCCATTTAAATGCATGTAGTTCCTCGGTAAAGACCAGGAATTTTATAGAAACATTTTTTTGTATTGTATTGTTTCCTGTTTGAAGCATGAGTTACTGTTTAATCATGTTGTCTATTTCTGGCAACTATTTATGTATTATTCATTTGATAGAGACAAATACACAGCTGTAGTCATCTTTATGAAAAATCAGAGGACACTAAAACAACATGAGGCTTGAAGACATGAAAAATACCAAATGAACATTGACACACATTCTTCTTCACTGTTTTTGGGATTGGTAGTTTTTACATGTGGAGTACAACAGAGCAAATTATTTTACTAGATGGCTTCTATTATGGAATATTAGTCTATACAATAAGAGCTAGTACTGTTTTTGTAATTTACATGATGGCTTTTGCACTAAACAGCAAAACAAAATTCTAACTTTGAATCATGCTATTTTGTAGGCTGCATCTATTGCTATGACCAGACGCCAGCACCAAAGATCACTTCTGGCACAGTGGCTGAGGAGTGAGCTCTCTCGCCTCTAAGTAACAATGTCCAGTGTTGAAATCCCGGTCAGATTTCTGTGTTTGCATTTGCTCTCTAAGTCTGCGTTTTTTTCCTCTGGGTGCTCCGGTTTCCCTTACCTCTTAAAACAATCCCCCATTCTGGTCCTGACCAAGGCGAGCATCAGTCCCTGGGCGCCGCACTGAGACAATGCTCACTTTTTAATTGAAAAATATCTCATGGCCCACAACCAGATTAGCCTGGTCATCCGTAAACTCAATAACATTTCCCTGCATATACCGTCTCTGGGTCTGGTCCCAGTGTCTGCAATTACATCGGTTGTAACTTGTAATAAAAGGAAATGAAATTAATCAAATCCCA